AGGGGGGGGCTCACGCCGTGGACGACGAGGCAGCAGGAGGCCGCGATAGAGCGGTTCAGCTGTTTTGCAGAGGAGGCCGCCAGATTAAGGGGGTCATTGGTTCAGAGGGAACAGAAGGAAAGTGTAGAGGCACGGCGAGAGGAGCTGGTTAGGCAGCAGAAGGAGCGGGGGTTACTGAAGGAACCCAGTCCCGCTCCTCGCACCAATCAAGTGGTGCGTGTCGCCAGTTTGGTCCGGCCCGTTCCTGATTCCCGCACTAAGCAAGTGGTGGGTGTCGCCAGTATGGTTCGGCCCGTTCCTGCTCCTCGCATCAAGCCAGTGGTGCGCATCGCCAGCCCGGTCCGGCCTGTTCCTGTCCCTCGCACCAAGTCAGTGGTGTGCGTCGCCAGCCCAGTCCGACCTGTTCCTGTCCCTCGCACCAAGCCAGTGGTGCGCGTCGCCAGCCCGGCCCGGCCTGTTCCTGCTCCCCGCACCAGGCCAGTGGTGCGCGTCGCCAGTCCGGTACGGCCCGTTCCTGCTCCCCGCACCAAGCCAGTGGTGCGCGTCGTCAGCCCAGTCCGGCCCGTTCCTGCTCCCCGCACCAGGCCAGTGGTGCGCGTCGCCAGTCCGGTACGGCCCGTTCCTGCTCCCCGCACCAAGCCAGGGGTGCGCGTCGTCAGCCCAGTCCGGCCCGTTCCTGCTCCCCGCACCAAGCCAGGGGTGCGTGTGTCCAGTCCGGCACGGCCCGTGCCTGTTCCACCGGTGCCTGGTACGGCACCGGTCAGCTGCTCCACTCCGGAGCCAGAGCAATCCGCTCCACCGGGGTCCAGTCCAGTTCCGGTCAGCGGCTCCACTCCAGAGCCAGAGCAGTCCACTCCACCGGTGCCTGATCCAGTTCCGGTCAGCGGCTCCACCCCAGACCCAGACGTCAGCCCCTCTCCAGGTTCGGGGTCTCCCACACCAGGGTCCAGACAGGGCGTGGTACTTTGTGGGAGGAAGGAGAGAGGAAGCAGCGCGCCAAGGTCCAGACCAGACCAGGGGCGCAACGGGGAGGTGGAGAGTAAGTGGTGGTCACACCCGGAGCCGGATCCGCCTCCGAGGCGGAATGCCCACCCGGCCCCTACCCTGTTAGGTTTATGTGGCGCAGTCGGAGTCCGCACCTTTGGGGGGGGGGTACTGTCACGCCCTGACTCTAGGGACTTGTATTTGTTGAGTCAGGGTGTGTATTTTCTGTGTTGGGTTTGTCTATGTTAGTTTCTAGATCGTTTAGATCTATGTTGGCCAGGGTGGTTCCCAATCAGAGGCAGCTGTAGCTCGTTGTCTCTGATTGGGGACCATACTTAGGTAGCCTGTTGGCACTAGTGGGGTGTGGGATCTTGTTCCGTGAAAGGTATGTTATTTGTCTACCTTGGACTTCACGTTTCGTTTGTTGTTTTTTTCGTGTGTTTATTCGTTAATAAATATGAATGCATATCACGCTGCGCCTTGGTCCTTCTCGTTCATGAACGATCGTGACATTATTATGTGATTTATTAAGCAAATTTACTACTGAACTTATTTACGCTTGCCATAACAAAGCGATTGAGTACTTATTGACTCAAGACATTTCAGCTTTTCCTTTTTAATTAATTTGTAAACATTTCAAAAAACATAATTCCACGTTGACATTATGGGGTATTGTGTGTAGGTCAGTGACACAAAATCTCAATTTAATTCATTTTAAATTCAGGCTTCAACACAACAAAATGTGGAAAAAGTCCAGGGGTGTGAATACTTTCTGAAGTCACTGTAGTTATCGTTATAGTTATTTGTGTACTCAATGAGAGGGGGCAGCACTAAGCTACCCTGCAATGTCACTTCCTGGAGTAGCTCAAACTACTCATGTTATGCCTCCATGAGACGCCATCTTAACCGACTCCATTTGGCTTCAATGTGCTATTGAGTCTTCACATAGGAATGAATGGTGTCACGTGATCAATGGCTTTGTCCATTCCTATATTCAGTCATTGGAATGGAGCTTCACCAAAACGCTTTTCAAGGATAACGACACTGAGCCTTTTTCTGAAATGTTTTATGAGATTGGAGAACATGTTGGGAGGGATCTTAGACCATTCCTCCATACAGAATTTTTCCAGATCCTTGATATCTTTCATCTGCTCTTATGGACTGCCCTCTTCAATTCAAACCACAGGTTTTCATTGGGGTTAAAGTCTGGAGACTGAGATGGCCATTGCAAAATGTTGATTTTGTGGTCAGTTAACCATTTCTTTGTGGATTTTGATTAGTGCTTGGGGTTATTGTCTTGGTGAAAGATCCACTTCCGGCCAAGTGACAGCCTCCTGGCAGAGGCATCCAGGTTTTTGTGCGTGGCCAAAGAGCTCTATTTTAATGTTGTCTGACCATAGCACCGGTTCCAATCCAAGTGCCAATGCCATTTATCAAACTCCAGGCGGTGCTATGGTCGGATGACATGAAAATAGAGCTTGTCATATTTGTCACTGTCTGACTACCAGGAATCATTATTGGTTGAGAGATTACATTTGCTGGAGAGTTATCGGTTGAAGTAGTATTCCTACTACTAGTCTAATTCATTTCTCACCTGATTTGTGATGGATAAAGATTAGATTAGCTATAGTTAGTAAGATTAACAATCAACTGTGTCCCCCTATATTGGTTGAAATAAAAAATAAATAATATACCTGCTTTACTGGCTGGCATATGCTCAGGGCTCTCCTCCTACCACCAATACATAGTAATAGTCCAATGGGCATCTCTCTCTCTCTCTTTCTCTCTCTCTCGCTCTGTCGCTCTCTCTCGCTCTGTCTCTCGCTCTCGCTCTGTCTCTCTCTCTCGCTCTGTCTCTCTCTCTCGCTCTGTCTCTGTATTTGTAGAAAAGCAGCATGATGTTGAGATTATGTCTGGGCCTCCTAAAGACAAGGACAAGAAGAACAAGCCCATGTCCCAGATCGTTGCGGTGAAGAAACCTGCCCTCAGCCCCAGCCTCGCCCCTACCCAGATCCCCCGCTTTGGGGTCAGCACCCTCCATGAGGGTCTACTGGCCACGGTGGGTGCCAAGTACACACACACACACACACACACAGACGGGCACAAACACACTCAGTGGGTTAGAGCATGGTGTTGGCAGCTTAATGGTTTGTTTCCCACATGGATGACAGATCTAAAGCGTCTGCTTAATCACCGTATTATTATATGTGAAGAAAAACACATTACGTCTCAAGTTTTATTGTCACATGCACAGGATACATCAGGTGTAAAACAATGCACAATAACGGTAGTAGCTAAAATAGATAAGAAATAAAACATGTGAAATGGAAAAAATGTATAATAATAAAGAAACACGAGAATGCAGTTATATACTGTACAGGTCTTGTATACAGGTCAGTGCAGTGCCAGTAGCGTTATTACAATGTGCAGGGGTGCTGGAGTGATTGAGGAAGGAATGTATATGTAAAGTGGCTAGTAGCAGGATAAATACTAATGGTAATAATAATAGTAATAAACAATATAGCAGCATCGAATGGTAATATGAATCTCTATAATCAATCAATCAGTTGTGGCAGCAGCGTATGTGGTGTGTGCATGGTAATGAGTGAGTGTGAGTGCATGTGTGAGGTGTCACTAGTGAGTGTGTGAGCATGGGTGAGGTGTCAGTAGTGAGTGTGTGAGCATGGGTGAGGTGTCAGTAGTGAGTGTGTGAGCATGGGTGAGGTGTCAGTAGTGAGTGTGTGAGCATGGGTGAGGTGTCACTAGTGAGTGTGTGAGCATGGGTGAGGTGTCAGTAGTGAGTGTGTGAGCATGGGTGAGGTGTCAGTAGTGAGTGTGTGAGCATGGGTGAGGTGTCACTAGTGAGTGTGTGAGCATGGGTGAGGTGTCAGTAGTGAGTGTGTGAGCATGGGTGAGGTGTCAGTAGTGAGTGTGTGAGCATGGGTGAGGTGTCAGTAGTGAGTGTGTGAGCGTGGGTGAGGTGTCAGTAGTGAGTGTGTGAGCATGGGTGAGGTGTCAGTAGTGAGAGTGTGAGCATGGGTGAGGTGTCAGTAGTGGGTGTGAGAGCATGGGTGAGGTGTCAGTAGTGGGTGTGAGAGCATGGGTGTGTATGTCAGTAGTGAGTGTGTGAGCATGGGTGAGGTGTCAGTAGTGAGTGTGTGAGCATGGGTGAGGTGTCAGTAGTGAGTGTGTGAGCATGGGTGAGGTGTCAGTAGTGAGTGTGTGAGCATGGGTGAGGTGTCAGTAGTGAGTGTGTGAGCATGGGTGAGGTGTCAGTAGTGAGAGTGAGAGCATGGGTGAGGTGTCAGTAGTGAGTGTGAGAGCATGGGTGTGTATGTCAGTATGTGTGAATGTGAAGAGTGTCAGTATGGGTGTGTGTAGCTGAGTGGTAGAGACCATTACTTGCCTTTCACACGTCAGACATACTACAAATACTCTATGAATCTCTTCACTCCATTCCTAAAAGATTTTAGTGTTTTTATGACTGGAGGGCTTACAATAGTCGTAAACATGGTGCTATAAAAGCCACTGGCCCCAGGGCCTTTATTCAGAAGAAAATGAATAAATTATTTGTACAATGGGCTAATTTAGATGTTCACACCTCTCATTATGACCATAGGATTGTGGTACATAAAGGCACTGTTTTATGATCTCTCATTACTGTAATGTAGGAGTGCTATTGCGTAGCTACTAACAGAGTTTGTTTACCCCATTTTACACTGAAGAATGGATAAGATACTTATTGAATGCTTATTGCTTGGCCTTTAATGTTATTTATGTCATTCAGTTTTTATCTGCTGCCATCAGTGACGTATTATTAATTATTATAAGTTGTCACATCATCTGCCCTCTGGAGGATTGCAATTGAAAAAGTCTGACTTTTTTGTGCCATGTTGATGTCTTTTGTTATGCGTGTTAAAAAAGTCGAATAAATAAATAAAATAACTATTTATTTTTTTATCTGCTTAATTGCCATATCAGACTTTTTCTCATTGAATGTTGTGTTGTCGTTCTAGGAATTTGAAGACATCAACAGATGGGGACTAGATATTTTCAAGATAGCTGAATACTCCGGGAATCGGCCTTTGACGGTGGTCATGTACTCCATTTTCCAGGTATGAGTCTCCCATTACTTTCCCAATTGTAGCATTTTCTAGCATTCTCGACAAGGCATTTTTCATCTCTTAGTGTATTGGCCAGGGGTTTGAGTCCCGGTTTGGGCTACCCCGAATTCGCTGCAATACTTTACCCCTATGTTTCTTACGTATTTGGTCTACTCTTCTGTGAGCCTGGTTTCTGTTGCTCCCCAAACTCAGGAGCGAGAGCTGCTGAAGAACTTTAAGATCCCAGCCGACACCTTCGTCACCTTCATGATGACCCTGGAGGACCACTACCACACCGACGTGGCCTACCACAACAACATCCACGCTGCCGACGTGGTACAGTCCACTCATGTCCTCCTCTCCACCCCTGCCCTGGAGGTATGGGACGCTCCATTATAAGGACGATTAAAGGATGATGTCCAGCCATATTCTATATTCTAATCTAGTTAGTAGACTTGCCCTGTGCATGGCTTTGGATTTCATCAACTTTATCAATGAATATTGAGGGAGAAGGCATTTGTTCATGGTTATAATAGTAAAGATAAGGTTACAAAAAAAAATCCCACGGTAAGTGTTAATACTTAGTAACTCTTAACAGTAGTAGTAACACAAAAGTGTCTGTTGATTGTTTTCAGGCTGTCTTCACTGACCTGGAGATCATGGCTGCTCTGTTTGCCAGTGCCATACACGACGTGGATCACCCCGGAGTGTCCAACCAGTTCCTCATCAACACAAGTCAGTCCCATCCCTCATTAGCAAACTCACTGATTAGATATAAAGGATATGTCCTTTGGAGCAAAATGTGTTTTGGAGCTACTACTGTGAAGACTACATTATAGCATCTGTAAGGCGTTACATCACTGAATACAGGAGTGCCTTGGAATTCTTGTTGCATTACTCACAGTGTGTGTGTTCCTACTGTAGACTCTGAGCTGGCTCTGATGTACAATGACGCCTCGGTCCTGGAGAACCACCACCTGGCCGTGGGCTTCAAGCTGCTGCAGGAGGACAACTGTGACATCTTCCAGAGCCTCAGCAAGAAACAGGGACAGTCCCTCAGGAAGATGGTCATCGACATGGTGAGACACTGACTGAATTAATTGGAATTTAATAGAAATAACATTTTAGCTACACACCTCCCTGTTATCATAGTTAAACATGATAAGGAATTAGCTAACATCATAATAATATGGCCATTTAGCAAAACCTTTTTCCCAAAGTCACTTAACGGTACATTTAACACATACTGAGTGTACAAAACATTAGGAACTTACTCTTTCCATGATATCGTCTGACCAGGTGAATCAAGGTAAAAGCTATGATCCCTTATTGATGTCACCTGTTATTTCCACTTCAGTCAGTGTAGATGAAGGGGAGGAGACAGGTTAAAGAAGGATTTTTAAGCCTTGAGACATTGAGACATGGATTGTGTATGTATGCCAGTCAGAGAGTGAATATTTAAGTGCCTTTGAACGGGGTATGGTAGTAGGTGCCAGACGCACCGGTTTGAGTGTGTCAAGAACTGCAACACTGCTGGGTTTTTCACACTCAACAGTTTGCCGTGTGCATCAAGAATGGTCCACCACCCAAAGGACATCCAGCCAACTTGGCACAACTGTGGGAAGTATTGGAGTCAACCCTTTGGAAATGCTTTCGACGCCTTGTAGAGTCCATGCCCAGACAAATTGAGGCTGTTCTGAGGCTAAAAGGGGTGCAACTCAATATTAGGAAGGTGTTCCTAATGTTTTGTACACTCAGTGTATATTCAGTATGTGGCCCATGTGGGAATCAAACCCACAACACAACCCTGGATGTGGGCAGCACCATGCTCTAACCCACTGAGCCATTGGACTTAGTGACTGAAGTAAGTGTGATGAATGAGTATTGTCCTCTGCAGGTGTTGGCCACTGACATGTCCAAGCACATGAACTTCCTGGCTGACCTGAAGACCATGGTGGAGACCAAGAAGGTGACCAGTCTGGGAGTGCTGCTGCTGGACAACTACTCAGACCGCATCCAGGTCAGAGGTCATTCCTAGATTAGTAGACACCACGGGCAGTGGCGGACTTACCATTAGGCTACTCAGGCAATTGCCTGGGGCGTCACATCATCAGGGGCCTTGCGAACTTGCCATCATTTCGTTTAATAATACATAATTTCTCAGTTATCTTGCATTCCTCCTCCGCCCGAGGCCCTCCTCCGATGTGTGCTATTTAGCGGTTGTGACCGTCTCTGGTTGTGACAAATGGAGTGGATTCGCTTTTCTTTCTCCAAATTTGGCGCTAACTTTTGAACACTTGGGTCTATTAGCTATTATGACCCCATTCCTGAAAGCTACAACTCTTTCTATTTCCCTCTACGAAACTCACAAGCTGCGCAGGACACGTTAGAAGGGACTGTGAGCAAACCACGATTGAAAACAATGCATATATTTTTTTCTACACACATTATTACCTGATTATGTTTTCCCGAACATTCGATTAGCCTACCTTTCTGATGCATTTCACTCATTTATTATGCAAATTAAAATTGTTACACCTTTCCCATATTCAAGCAATTTTACCTATTTTCTTATTAGCCTTATGAACATAGAAACTTGGTTGCAGTTTGTATATGTGCTAGAATGGTTAAAAAGGCCATAAAATTAAAATATATATACAGTGGGGAAAAAAAGTATTTAGTCAGCCACCAATTGTGCAAGTTCTCCCACTTAAAAAGATGAGAGAGGCCTGTAATTTTCATCATAGGTACACGTCAACAATGACAGACAAATTTAGGAAAAAAATTCCAGAAAATCACATTGTAGGATTTTTTATGAATTTATTTGCAAATTATGGTGGAAAATAAGTATTTGGTCGCCTACAAACAAGCAAGATTTCTGGCTCTCACAGACCTGTAACTTCTTCTTTAAGAGGCTCCTCTGTCCTCCACTCGTTACCTGTATTAATGGCACCTGTTTGAACTTGTTATCAGTATAAAAGACACCTGTCCACAACCTCAAACAGTCACACTCCAAACTCCACTATGGCCAAGACCAAAGAGCTGTCAAAGGACACCAGAAACAAAATTGTAGACCTGCACCAGGCTGGGAAGACTGAATCTGCAATAGGTAAGCAGCTTGGTTTGAAGAAATCAACTGTGGGAGCAATTATTAGGAAATGGAAGACATACAAGACCACTGATAATCTCCCTCGATCTGGGGCTCCATACAAGATCTCACCCCGTGGGGTCAAAATGATCACAAGAACGGTGAGCAAAAATCCCAGAACCACACGGGGGGACCTAGTGAATGACCTGCAGAGAGCTGGGACCAAAGTAACAAAGCCTACCATCAGTAACACACTACGCCGCCAGGGACTCAAATCATGCAGTGCCAGACGTGTCCCCCTGCTTAAGCCAGTACATGTCCAGGCCCGTCTGAAGTTTGCTAGAGTGCATTTGGATGATCCAGAAGAGGATTGGGAGAATGTGATATGGTCAGATGACTTTTTGGTAAAAACTCAACTCGTCGTGTTTGGAGGACAAAGAATGCTGAGTTGCATCCAAAGAACACCATACCTACTGTGAAGCATGGGGGTGGAAACATCATGCTTTGGGGCTGTTTTTCTGCAAAGGGACCAGGACGACTGATCCGTGTAAAGGAAAGAATGAATGGGGCCATGTATCGTGAGATTTTGAGTGAAAACCTCCTTCCATCAGCAAGGGCATTGAAGATGAAACGTGGCTGGGTCTTTCAGCATGACAATGATCCCAAACACACCGCCCGGGCAACGAAGGAGTGGCTTCGTAAGAAGCATTTCAAGGTCCTGGAGTGGCCTAGCCAGTCTCCAGATCTCAACCCCATAGAAAATCTTTGGAGGGAGTTGAAAGTCTGTGTTGCCCAGCGACAGCCCCAAAACATCACTGCTCTAGAGGAGATCTGCATGGAGGAATGGGCCAAAATACCAGCAACAGTGTGTGAAAACCTTGTGAAGACTTACAGAAAACGTTTGACCTGTGTCATTGCCAACAAAGGGTATATAACAAAGTATTGAGAAACTTTTGTTATTGACCAAATACTTATTTTCCACCATAATTTGCAAATAAATTCATAAAAAATCCTACAATGTGATTTTCTGGATTTTTTTCCCTCATTTTGTCTGTCATAGTTGACGTGTACCTATGATGAAAATTACAGGCCTCTCTCATCTTTTTAAGTGGGAGAACTTGCACAATTGGTGGCTGACTAAATACTTTTTTCCCCACTGTATATTGGTTAGTTATTGGTCGATATTCCAAATAATTTCCACATCAGTGCATCCCTAACTAACTAAAACCAGATAGAAAGTATGTTGAAAGGATAATGGCCCTATAAGCCTATGTTTTAAAAGAACTGCCCTTTTTCTGGCCCCGCAAATTTGCTTTTGACTAACAAATCGGTCTGGAAAGACATCTGTGCGGCCCACCGTTGAATTCTGAAAACCCAATGTGGCTTTTGAGATAAAATTATTGCCCACCCCTGTTCTAGAGTATGTGGTGATACAAAAACCTTTCCTAGTGAAGGGCATTTCAAGTGTTTTCAGTTAGCCTTTTCATTCTGCCCCACTCACCTAAAAGAGCCGGCTCCGAACAGCTCTTCGCTCAGTAGCCATGATTTTGTTAAGTAGACATGGGGGTGCCTCAGACTGGCCTCCGCATGGGGCCTTCAAATCACTAAGTCCGCCCCTGACTAGTGCTGAGCAATTTTAGCTTTTTGAGGTGGGTTCGGTTTTGGTTAGATTATAAAAAAATAATTACGGTTTTTCGATTTTTTATTTATTTATTTTTTATGTATTGCGCTATGCATTATGTTGGTTGAATGCTGTAACACAGAATAAAAATATTAGGCCTAATACAAGCCCCATGATGGTAGTGACTGCCCATTGCTGCTTATCATTTATTAACCAATATTTATTCACATTACTTTAATGAAATATTTCAGTTGTTGCGTATATTACATTTGTTTTATAGTGATGAATTAAATATTTATTTAATATTTCCAAGTCATCAACTCATCTCTATAGAGCTGCTGCCTATGCTGTCTGACAAAATCACTATTTTAGCAGTTCTTCAAAGTAAATAAGGCATACTTTTATGACTGCTGAATACCAACTAATGTTAATTATTGCTTTTTGACTGCAAAAGTGATCTGTGAAAGTGAATGGAGACTTACTTCCATTCAGCCACAAAGCATTAGTGAGGTCGGGCACTGATGTTGGGGCAATTAGGCCTGGCTCGCAGTCTGTGTTCCAATTCATCCCAAAGGTGTTGGATGGGGTTGAGGTCAGGGCTCTGTGCAGGCCAGACAAGTTCTTCCACACCGATCTCAACAAACCATTTCTGTATGGACCTGGCTTTGTGCACTGGGGCATTGTCAGGCCTTCCCCAAACTGTTGCCACAAAGTTGGAAGCACTGAATTGTCTAGAATGTCATTGTATGCTCTAGCGCGAACCATGAAAAACAGCCCCAGACCATTATTCCTCCTCCACCAAACTTTACAGTTGCACTAAGCATTGGGGCAGGTAGTGTTCTCCTGGCATCATCCAAACCCAGATTTGTCCGTCGGACTGCCAGAAGGTGAAGCGTAATTCATCATTCCAGAGAACGCGTTTCCACTGCTCCAGAGTCCAATGGCGGCAACCTTTCACCACTCCAGCAGATGCTTGGCATTGCGCATGGTGATCTTTGGCTTGTGTGCGGCTGCTCGACCATGGAAACCCATTTCATGAAGCTCCCGACGAACAGTTATTGTGCTGACCTTGCTTCCAGAGGCAGTTTGGAACTCGGTAGTGAGTGTTGCAACCGAGGACAGATTATTTTTACGCTCTATGCGCTTCAGCACTCGGCGGTCCCGTTCTGTGAGCTTGTGTGGCCTACCACTTTGTGGCTGAGACATTGCTGCTCCTAGACGTCTCCACTTCACAATAACAGCACTTACAGTTGACTGGGGCAGCTCTAGCAGGGCAGAAAGTTGATGAACTGACTTGTTGGAAAGGTGGCATCCTATGATGGTGCCACGTTGAAGGTCACTGAGCTCTTCAGTAAGGCCATTCTACTGCAAATGTTTGTCTATGGAGATTGCATGGCTGTGATCAATTTTATACACCTGTCAGCAGCGGGTGTGGCTGAAATAGCCGAATCCACTAATTTGAAAGGGTGTCCACATACTTTTGTATATATAGTGTAGCTCAAGACTTCATAGTGTGTAAATGTAGGTTTCTACGTAAATGCCTGAAATAGAAATGACAAAATATATATGTAATAAAGAATCTTCTGAAAATATCAAAGCAATAGATAAACTGAGAACTAACATGGGTCCTCCGTGCGTGTCTCAAGGTCCTGCAGAACATGGTTCACTGTGCTGACCTGAGTAATCCCACCAAGCCCTTGGAGGTCTACCGCAAATGGACGGACCGCATCATGGTGGAGTTCTTCACCCAGGGGGACAGGGAGAGGGACAAGGGCATGGAGATCAGCCCTATGTGTGATAAACACAACGCCTCCGTTGAGAAGACCCAGGTACTGTACAGCGCATGTGCAATGCATACAAGCACGCAGGCACAGGCACACAGGCTCTCTCACGCATGCAAATCTGCAAACCCACCCGCAGATCTTTGGCACTGCTTAACAGACCCAGTTGCTTGCAAATTATTGTCATACTGTCTGTTGAAACCCATCAACTCAAAACAGTGTGGGGCCATACTCGTTAACTTTTGCTAAGACCATTATTTTAAATAATTGGTCTTAAATGGCTAGCTGCTAGCTTTTCTCATAGGCCAACCTGGCAAAATTAGCGATGATGCTGGGGACGGCCAGCTGAGCAGATAATTCGATCCGGTAACTAAATAACAAATCAACTTATCAGAGACATTAAACGTTATAGCCACCATCCAATCGTATTTGTTAAACAGGTCAACTTCGCCACCAGAGGGAGATTGTTAAACCATCCAACTGCTTGGTTTAGTTTCTTACCAATGGTCTTGGTAAGTGGAGTGCTCCAATATATTTTGCATGATGCTTCCATGACTAGGCTACTGACGTTACACAAAATTCAAAAGGCAGTAAGGCACATTTCCGCATATATGACCAAATTCCATGTTTTTGCTTACCGTTTCATACACATCCATGTGCTTTTATAGGGAAGAAAACATGTCAGAGGATTATACGTTTATATTCGTAGCTACGGTGGTCTTGTGAACTGGTTGTATTTTTTCCAAACCATTATGACTGATTGGGGGCGCAGTCTGCTAAGACAGTTGGCTCGAAGTTCAATGGATGCTTTAGTGAGAACGTGTTGGGATCAGATCCAACTACGTTGACGATTTTAATTGGCTGATAAGAATGTAGTTACTGGATATAGCATCGTGGCTAATTTTGCCAGCATGGTCTATGAGAAAAGCTAGCAACTAGCCGTTTGAGACCAATGGTTTAAACCAATGGATTTAGCAAAAGTTCACAAGTATGGGTCTTTGTGCGTTTATTTACTCCCCCCTGCAGGTAGGATTCATAGACTACATTGTCCACCCTCTGTGGGAGACGTGGGCTGACCTGGTCCACCCTGACGCCCAGGACATCCTGGACACGCTGGAGGACAATCGGGAGTGGTACCAGAGTATGATCCAGCGCAGCCCCTCACCCACCCTCGAGGACAGGGACCTTGACGGGGGGCCAGAGGCCCTGGAGGCCATGGCGGGGGGCTGCTGCACCTCCACAGGGGACAAGTTCCAGTTTGAACTCACCCTGGAGGAGGAGGAGGAGGAGGGCGACGTCGAGTCAGACCTGGAGAGCCCCCCCGAGGAGGAGAGGTCACAGGGGGGAGAGACCTCTAGGAAGACCCCGGCCCTGTCTCTATCCCCAGAGCCCAGCAGCAGCACCAGATACCGGCCCCCCTCCCCTCACCCTGGCCGGGCCCTCAGTCTGACCACCATGTCGGTCAGGAGCCCTGGCCATCTCAGGACGTTGAGCCCCGGGCTGGACGGGGACGACAGAGACGATAGGGACAGAGAACTGGGCCAGGAAGGGAGTAGTGTAGCGTACCTACGGCTTGGCACGTAACACCAACCCTGGCCCACCCGGGACCTTGTTCAGTCCCTGCCTTGGTTCGTGGGTCCCAGCAGCAATTGGACGCGCAGGGTGGGCTTTTTGACAACAGTCTGTAATGACAACAGTCCCTTTACACTGGAGACACCTTTACACTGGCCACTTCCCCACCTTTTAATCTTGTAGAACAAGAAGTTTCTGTGTGCCAGATGGGACTTTTTAGTCCTGCTTTCTGTAGTTGATTCTGGGGGTAAAGTGTCAGACACAGACTGCTGTATATGTCTAGCTGATCAAAGGTAGAGAACTAACTACATGCTAACCAGTCTCACCAATGTCTCCTGATGAAGCAAGGAATTCTACTGACAAAACAATGTCTTCCTCAAAATGATGGAATATAGATATTTTCAATGGAATATTGTAAGGATTGTGATCAGTTGACAGGGTCTTGGAACTTTTGCACCATACAATTAGGGGATTATATTTGTTTGAATTCAGTAAGCATAAACTAGTTTATTTTATTTAGTCTCTTTGAGAATTCTGTGAATGATAAGTTTTACCAAATCCAGTATGTACCTGAATAGTGAGAGAATTGTGAATTAAACCTCAGGGTATGAAGAGAGAAAGGATTTTAATGTAGCACAGACTTCTTGGGTACCCCTTAACCTAGACTGCCTGTTTCGAGTTGTGTTGCTAACGACAAACAGCTCTTAGAACCTCAAGAGGTTCAAGTTATGCAAAAATACATAACTGATTTGACATATTTATTTTTCTCTGGCACCATCTATTGATCTAAATTAAAAAGTTAATGAGTTTGAGAACTAAAGCAAGTTAAGTATGGAGTATTAAACAAACAGTACCAGTATAATTATATACAGTGGGGTCTGAAATTATTGACACCCTTGGTAAATACTAATTTATAGGAATCTTTAGGGGTGTCAATAATTTTTTTGAGAAAAAATTGACATTTTTTGTAGCACACAATATAGATCAGTATTTGAAATTATTTATTTGATACAGTCATTGTTGCTATTCTTTATCAGGGGTGTCAATAATTTCAGACCCCACTGTATATAAGTCAAGTATTTAAACATTTCCTGAAGTACTGTGGTTGATTGGGGTACCCAATACAAGTTGTTTTAAATCTAGACAAACACCACTTACACTCATATTTGTAAAATTGTATTTGATTCTATGTGATCATGTTTTACGTTTGTGTCACGTTTTTTAAATATGATTTGAAATGGTTCTGTTTTCTTGTATTTAAACATTTCCTGAAGTACTGTGGTTGATTGGGGTACCCAATACAAGTTGTTTTAAATCTAGACAAACACCACTTACACTCAAATTTGTAAAATTGTATTTGTTTCTATGTGATCATGTTTTACGTTTGTGTCACGTTTTTTAAATATGATTTGAAATGGTTCTGTTTTCTTTTCTATATTTGGGATGTCCTCACTATGTCTGGTTGTCTCTGTGCTTTGTAAGCATCGTTATCAGGGTGCCTCCACCATACAGTAGCATTTTACAATCTCTGTTGTAGATTAAGTACATTCATTTCTAAAGAGCTTGAGCCAAACCATGATTCTACTGGACAGCTTACTGAAAGTTGTAGTTCCTGTCCAGAAACAACCCTAGGCCTAACACCTAGACACGTGTAGATCTGAAAGGGATGGATAGGTGTAGTCAAAATGGTAAAAATTCCACCTAACCTATCAGAGGGTGAGATGGTTACATTGTCATGTACTGTAGCTTAAAACTATAAAATCCTGTCAGATCTCCACAAGTGTCAAGGGGTTAGGGGCTATGGGTTGTTTCTGGACAGGGCCATAGAGTAAATTAATACGTTTTTTTTCAGTAGGGTGCGATGCTTTGAAAGTTGCAGATAGAAATGTAATGAACAGAGTTGATATGATTCCCTGTAATACACAACAGAAAATCATATCCGGTTTACACAATACATTCTGTACTGACATTTGATAACTTCCCATTCGCCTGAATAAGCCCCTAATGTCTTCTTTAATTTGTTCTTGAGGGAAACCAGTTTATAGGGAAAATTGTGCCACAAGTGTTTGGAATTTGGACAAAAGCATCTGCCAGCCTAAGTCGTTATGAAATGTTGAACACAATGTTCTCTCTGAACTGTTGATTGTATTCATGTTAACTTTACTTTAAAAAGTGTTGTTTTATCAATTATCAGTTATAATGTTAGAATTATGCTAATTCTTTAAAGGGAAATGTCGCACCTTAATACGGATGTAATGCTTTGACTTAAATGCTACATTCAATTTTTGAAAATAACAGCACTTCCAACAAAGTTCAACAACAGCTCCAGCATGATAAACTTGCCTGGGAACTAACACTAAAAAGTATTTCCCTCTTACTCTTTTCCTGGTAAGGCAGGAGAAGAGTACATTAGTATTCATACATACATGTATACTGTATATTGACAGTATTCCATTCACTAAGCTGTTTGGTCATGAATAAGCAAACAGCTGAAATAACAGAGCCTTAAATTGTGATGGGGAGTAGCTGAACTGTATTGAGGGTAAAACGTACATAAATCAGTGCCATTCAGTGTTGACTGTGAGAAGTTATAATGGTGACTATTTGTTCCCCTGGTCCCTTTATCGCTTTGCTCTGAAACAGTGACACACAATAGTATACCATTACTGTTGTACTTTTGTTCTATGTAGGTCTTTTCATCCTCAATGTTGTTCCATGTCGGATATTTATTCGAAGTATATTTGTGTCTGTCAAAATGTAAGTACTGTAAAAAGAGATCTTAACGATAGAATCCGTAGTTGTGACATACATTTTTGGACTTACTAATTAATTATATATACCCATCAGAACCCAAATATTAGCTTGTTTCACTCTGTTTGTAAACAATGTAAATGTAAACAAAGACTGTATAGCCTCAAAACATGGTTCAAACTATAATTTTGATATCATGGCTGGTCTGTCCTTGCATCCATAGCTCTGTCTATGAATTAGAGAGTGGGTAAATTTCTCCAGGCCCATTCCTCAGTTTGTTTTTAACCAAAACAGAGGGGTGACCGCTTTGTGGTTTCAATTAAGGATTCTAGCTTTCAATACATTTTTCTGGAGCCTAAAAAATCAAGTATACCTTTCAAAATGTATACATCTACCGCTCCAATATTTGTTTAGAGAATTTGCTTAATTTTGTTTATCATTTTTAAAGGCCAAAGTTTCTGGAGTTCAAGTTGTTCAAAGTGAAAATGCCAATAAATTATATGGAAACCTGTATCCATAAAAAATTTATCATTTTTGTGCATATTCTTAAATCTGTCTCTATGCAAATCATTAATCTGTGTTGGATTGAATACAGCCTAATCTCTGATTCATGCATGACTCTACATGTTAATATATTACATGTCAATTTGATCGCGGGTTATTATAGGCAATGCAGCTTTTCCTGCGTGTGCAGAGATCATTCTCGATAAACGTTGCATGTGTCGGCTCAGCGTTAACCCGCGATAACCAACAACTGCATAGCAGATCATTGTTTTTAATTAAGCCATGTCAGAGCTGTCAAATCCAAAAGCGTCTCTCGGCGTTATAGCTAGCGCAGACGTTGCCATTAGATGCACCAAGTCGCATTAGTAAAAACGGAGAGGAAGAGGCGAAGCGAGAGGGTTTACTCTGCCTAAAATCTGTCCACGAAAATAAGACCACGAAGTGAAGAATTTGTGCATGGAGGTCAACGATAGTGTTGAATTTGGTTTACAAAAAATGTAATTGCTAATTTGCTACGTGAGGCTTTTTTGATCGAAAAGACGATTCGGAATGGTTAGGTTGTTACGAATGCACTGATATAAGTGGACGCGCATTGCATTTCGTCAACTTTGAAAAAACTACTTTATCTCTGAGTTGTGCCTGCTCTCTCATTGGCTAGAACGGTCCCACCTGATTTCGCCTCCTCCTGCCTGCCTTCCATCTTTGAGGACATACATTAACATTGTCAGAGCCGTCACTCGACTATCTTGTGAATATAATAGAAAATCTTGGTTGGGCCTAGATTTAGGGCTCTATAGAGAAGGGTTTCCCAAACTCTATCATGGGGCACGTTTTGGTGTTTTCCCAAGCACTACACAGCTGTTTCAAATAACCAACTCATCATCAAGCTTTGATTATTTGAATCAGCTGTGTAGGAAACCCTGCTATAGAGTACAACAGTATGAGTCATAATACCCATAAAACCTAGCAGTCAAACAAGGAAATGTTTCCAATTGTTCTTCCACCATTCATTTTTCCCATAGGAGATTTTAGAAACACTTATACTGAACAAAAATATAAACGAAACAATTAACGATTTTACTGAGTTAGATTTCAAATAAGGAAATCAGTCAATTGAAACAAATTCATTAGGCCCTAATCAATGGATTTCACATGACTGGGCAGGGGCGCAGCCATAGGTGGGCCTGGAAAGGCATAGGCCCACCCACTGGGGAGCAAGGCCCAGCCAATCAGAACGAGTTATTCCCCACAAAAGGGCTTTATTTGACAGAAATACTTTATTAGCTGTCTGGGGGGCTGGTCTCACACGATTCCGCAGGTGAAGAAGACAGATGTGGTGGTCAGCAGTTGTGAGGCCGGTTGGATGTACTGCCAAATTTGGAAGCGGTTTATGGTAGAGAAATTAACATTAAATTCTCTGGTAACAGCTTTGGTAGACATTCGTGCAGTCAGCATGCCAATTGCATGCTTCCTCAAAACTTGAGACATCTGTGGCATTGTGTTTTGTGACAAAACTGCACATTTTAGAGTGACCTTTTGTCCCCAGCACAAGGTCCACCTGTGTAATGATCATGCTGTTTAATATGCCACACCTGTCAGGTAGTTGGATTATCTTGGCAAAGGAGAAATGAAAAGAATGAGAGGTTTTTATGCATATGGAACATTTCTGGGATCTTTTATTTCATCTCATGAAACATTGGCCCAACAATTTACATGTTGCGTTTATATTTGTGTATATTGAAAGCAGGTGCTTCCACATAGGTATGGTTCCTGAGTTAATTAAGCAATTAAAACATTCCATGACGCTTAGGGTAAAAAATTGCCCTGTTGCCCATTATTTTGGTTACCATGGCTAGAAAAAGAGATTACAATGACTTTGAAAGAGGGATCTCAAAAGGACCATAGGGGGTTTAAAGGGTGCGTGTCAGTCATCTGATCAACGCAATTGAACACTTTTAATGGCATCAGACCGAGGCTCTGCATCTGTCCTCGTGCTACTAGACCTTAGTGCTGCCTTTGACACCATCGATCACCACATTCTTTTGGAGAGACTGGAAACCCAAATTGGTCTACACGGACAAGTTCTGGCCTGGTTTAGATCCTACCTGTCGGAAAGATATCAGTTTGTCTCTGTGAATGGTCTGTCCTCCGACAAATCAACTGTACATTTCGGTGTTCCTCAAGGTTCCGTTTTAGGACCACTATTGTTTTCACTATATATTTTACCTCTTGGGGATGTTATTCGAAAACATAATGTTAACTTTCACTGCTATGCGGATGACACACAGCTGTACATTTCAATGAAGCATGGTGAAGCCCCAAAATTGCCCTCGCTAGAAGCCTGTGTTTCAGACATAAGAAAGTGGATGGCAAAAAACTTTTTACTTTTAAACTCGGACAAAACAGAGATGCTTGTTCTAGGTCCCAAGAAACAAAGAGATCTTCTGTTAAATCTGACAATTCATCTTGATGGTTGTAAAGTCGTCTCAAATAAAACTGTGAAGGACCTAGGCGTTACTCTTGACCCTGATCTCTCTTTTGACGAACATATCAAGACTGTTTCAAGGACAGCTTTTTTCCATCTACGTAACATTGCAAAAATCAGAAATTTTCTGTCCAAAAATGATGCAGAAAAATTAATCCATGCATTTGTTACTTCTAGGTTAGACTACTGCAATGCTCTATTTTCCGGCTACCCGGATAAAGCACTAAATAAACTTCAGTTAGTGCTAAATACGGCTGCTAGAATCCTGACTAGAACCAAGAAATTTGATCATATTACTCCAGTGCTAGCTTCCCTACACTGGCTTCCTGTTAAGGCAAGGGCTGATTTCAAGGTTTTACTGTTAACCTATAAAGCGTTACATGGGCTTGCTCCTACCTATCTTTCCGAGTTGGTCCTGCCGTACATACCAATACGTACGCTACGGTCACAAGACGCAGGCCTCCTAATTGTCCCTAGAATTTCTAAGCAAACAGCGGGAGGCAGGGCTTTCTCCTATAGATCTCCATTTTTATGGAACAGTCTGCCTACCCATGTGAGAGACGCAGACTCAGTCTCAACCTTTAAGTCTTTACTGAAGACTTATCTCTTCAGTAGGTCATATGATTGAGTGTAGTCTGGCCCAGGAGTGTGAAGGTGAACGGAAAGGCTGGAGCAACGAACAGCCCTTGCTGTCTCTGCCAGGCCGGTTCCCCTCTCCACTGGGGTTCTCTGCCTCTAACCCTGTTGCAGGGGCTGAGTCACTGGCTTGCTGGTGCTCTTTCATGCCGTCCCTGGGAGGGGTGCGTCACTTGAGTGGGTTGAGTTACTGACGTGATCTTCCTGTCTGGGTTGGCGCCCCCCCCCTTGGTTTGTGCTGTGGTGGAGACCTCTGTGGGCTATACTCGGCCTTGTCTCAGGATTGTAAGTTGGTGGTTGGGGATATCCCTCTAGTGATGCGGGGGCTGTGCTTTGGCGGAGTGGGTGGGGTTATATCCTTCCTGTTTGGCCCTGTCCGGGGGTTTCTTCGGATGGGGCCACAGTGTCTCCGGACCGCTCCTGTCTCAGCCTCCAGTATTTATGCTGCAGTAGTTTATGTGTCGGGGGGCTGGGGTTAGTTGGTTATACCTGGAGTACTTCTCCTGTCTTATCCAGTGTCCTGTGTGAATTTAAGTATGCTCTCTCTAATTCTCTCGTTCTCTCTTTCTCTCTGAGAACCTGAGCCCTAGGACCATACGTCAGGACTACCGGGCATGATGACACCTTGCTGTCCCCAGTCCGCCTGGCCTTGCTGCTATTCCAGTTTCAACTGTTCTGCCTGCGGCTACGAAACCCCTACCTGTCCCAGACCTGCTGTTTTCAACTCTTAATGATCGGCTATGAAAAGCCAACTGAGAGACCTGAGCCCTAGGACCATACGTCGGGACTACCGGCCGTGGTGACTCCTTGCTGTCCCCAGTCCGCCTGGCCTTGCTGCTATTCCAGTTTAAACTGTTCTGCCTGCGGTTATGGAACCCCTACCTGTCCCAGACCTGCTGTTTTCAAACTCTTAATGATCGGCTATGAAAAGCCAACTGAGATTTATTCCTGATTATTATTTGACCATGCTCGTCACTTATGAACATTTTTTGAACATCTTGGCATGGTTCTGTTATAATCTCCACCCGGCACAGCCAGAAGAGGACTGGCCACCCCTCATAGCCTGGTTCCTCTCTAGGTTTCTTCCTAGGTTTTCGCCTTTCTAGGGAGTTTTTCCTAGCCACCGTGCTTCTACACCTGCATTACTAGCTGTTTGGGGTTTTAGGCTGGGTTTCTGTACAGCACTTCGAGATATTAGCTGATGTAAGAAGGGCTATATAAAATAAAATTGATTGAAAATTGATTGATTATTGGAGATTCTGGAGCAGCACCGAGATAGCATTTTCCAGTTCTTGTGGAAGAATGGTGTCGCATCCCTCCAAGAGTTCAAGACACTTGTGGAATCTATGCCATGGCATATTGAAGCTGTTCTGGCGGCCCAACGCCATATTTAGACACTGTTGCCATTTCCTTTATGTTAGCAGTTAACTGTACTTTTGAAAAAAGCTACACAAAGGAACATCGTTCTCCAGAATATGCAACTGTACTAAAATAAGTCAAAGTTTTTCCCCAGGTAACATGTCTAATGATGATGTTCTTCCATGATTGTTGCTTTTTCCCAATAGCTTCTTCTTGGGGTCAAAATGACCCCAGTTGTTAATCGATGCATGTCAAATATGTTGGTAGCTTGAGGTTTACGCTTTGTGGATGAAAGATGCCACGTAAGGCTTGAAAGATATTTACAAACTGTTCATACAAAACAATGATCCTCAACTGGTTAGCATTAGGTTTAATTATCAATACATAGGGAGTTATTTAACACATCGTAGAATCACACTGACAAAATATAGTCTTACAATTCATGAAATACAGTTCATCAACAAATTAGCAACTGATGTTTTTGAAAGACCATGCAAGTTCATCACAGATCATGAGGGGAAACTGGTACATATATCATAAAATATATTTCAAAAACATGAATGGCATGCAGAATGACTGTTGGTTTCAGCACAAACGCCTGTCTAGTTTCTTCTGCGCGCCAGTACAGGCAGGGGGTTTGCCTCCCTGTGGACAAATATGGGTGATGATTACATTTTAGCTCAGCCCATGACCAAGTACATGTTGATCACAGTTTAAGAATTTAAATGTAATTAATATTGAACCTCAAACAAGGACCAGTCCCCTTCAACTCACCTTGTACATTCTGCAGACCAAGTTGAAAAGCGATGACATTGCTTTGTCCTGAAAGTCATCTGTGTATTCCTGCAAAGGAGGAGGAATTGGAATGTCATGTAGAGGATTTTGACACTGGCACATAGTGTTTGATTGCATGACCTACTATACACTGAAGTGTTTTAAGTAGCAGGGTATCCTTTCAAAAAGCATTACCCCCATTGTGGATAATCAGTAAATGCTCACCACTGGCTGTACTATAGCCACATTGTGCACCTAGTTTCAGTCCCGGCAGGGTCTTCTTACCCCATTAATAGTCACCCAGGGGACGTGTGTTTTGGCCGGACTGAGAGCTTTGGTCTTCAGGGCGTTCTCATGCATCAGTTTGAAGCCAAGCTCTCCCTTCACACAGGATGTGACACTGTCCCACATCATGGAAGGGACGTGCAGCTGTAAGCACTAGAGGAGAACAGAATGCTTGTTAGAACCAATACAACCAGAGCCCTTGATGTAAACATAGGTGCACAAATGCATTTTGAATGAAGAGAATAGCAACAGCAAAGACAGGTTAAAACCAGTACAATACTCACAGGTTGGGCAGCATCAAGAACATTAGCTGCAGATTCCATGCAGTAAATGACCGGGAATGCTGAGTACAGACCCACTGAATGTAGAACACATGCCTAAGCGGAAGGTATGAACTCATGAATCAACGATATTTCAGGTTACAAGCAGTTCCGACATTTGCCATTTTATTGGCAGGCGCACCTCAATCATGTTACCATGACACTCTGGTTCTCCATGTTGACAGGTGAACGGAGAATTCCCTGAGGGAAGCTCCTGTGAAAGAACACCAGGAAAAAGGCTGCAGCATTAACACAACACAATATTTACTTATGTAATTACTGTTGATTTCTCTAATGTTCTTATTCAATAGTCTGGAAGTGAGAATGGATCTATTAAAATGTCTGTACTGAGGTACAACCTGAACTTCTCTACTTTTACAATGTGCCCTACTGAACATGACCCAGTGCTCCTCACTTCGAGAAGAGGCCTACCTGTGCATTGCCGTAGGGCACCAGTTTGACGTCCATGATGTCGTGGAGCATGGCCCAGGTGGGGAAGAGCTGCTGGGTGAGGAAGGCCCTGCAGTCTGGACACAGGCTCTCATAGTACAGGGTCACCTCCACTCGGGGTACCGGCAAGTTGGGCCTGGTAGCATTGAGCTCTAGACACTGCTTCTGAACCTAGACAGGATACATGTTCAGAGAAAGCGCGCAGGCTTACTTTGTTTCAATTAGACAAATAATTACTTGCCTGGAATTCATCGGAGTACATGGATATTGTGGGAACCACACCACTTGCAGCCCCCAGTTACAGTTTGAATGTTTAGAAATCATAGTAAAATGGAGGGCTTTAATTCATCAAGACAAATTTAAGGTCTTAACTTGAACCGAAACTAAACAGCTTGTCGGCGTCACATTCTCATCAAGGTTTGGCTTCAGTCACATGCCCTCACGAAATGTAGGACCTCTGGTGCACAATTTCAAAAGCATGACTCATTCAATCATGGACAAGGAACTCTTTGAACATCAATTTAGACTGAACCCACAATCCTGTAGAACAATGTTTGGGAATATACTCACATTTACATATTGCCCTATAACATGGAAATAGCAGGAGAATGTCTTAATGTTTGGTGATATTACACAAATAGGACATTTGATTTGTAGAAAATGACAAGTAATTTAATAATTCAACTGAACAACTCCTGCAATAGCTTGCATGCGACAGATTAAAAACTACTACAGGGCAGAATAAAAAAACATGAAAATAGATTTGATAAAAGAAACCAAAACAGAGCCCAGCAATTGTCATTATAATGTCTCAGCGCAGTTATTCAATGTTGATGATCCAAACGTACCCTACATTGTATTGCAATTTCCAAACTCCTACACCACTGCAACGGGGGGTATTCACAGGCCGGTTTGGGCTTCGACTTTCCTTGGGATTTCTTGAAAGTAGAGCAGAAGAAAAGGACAAATACAGATGCAAACTTCATGTTGCTTACAGGTACTCAAGCCTTCCTTGACACTTATCTCGGACAACACCGTGACCAATTTGAAAAGCCAGTGGGTTGGAGCTCCTCCCACTAATGATTACAATCATCCTCAGCTGTGATAATGAGCTGGATTCTTGTGACCACCTGAGAAGCCAAACTCTCTCATTGGACATCCCACAACAATTACAAGAACCATATCGTCTCTTCAACCACTTTTCTTTACATAAGGACAAATTGGTTGGCAAAACAGGTATAAGAACAAACTTAAACTTAGGCCAGAGTAGAAGCCTTCTTAATTGATTGATTAATTGACTAAATTCACATCTAATAGATAATTAATAACATATATACAGTCACAACATCAAAGCAATACCTAAATAAAGCAGTCCATCATCCGTAGTGACTAACTACACAGAAAGTTGCCAAGACAACAATGAGGAACGTCATAGACTGTATGACCATGTTTTGACAGTAGATGTCACAATTCTCCCAACGTTTACACTCAATTGCCTTCTGAGCAAGGGGTTACTTTCCTCAGAAAACTGTTGGAAAAACGTCAACAAAAAGGTATTTTGACAACTTTACTCTTTTTAATAAAAAAATTATTTTTTATTTAGTACTATATAAAACTACCAGTCAAACAAATACAACATGAAAATATAACATTGTTTATGTGCAGCCAGAAAGTAATGCAATAACAATTTTACAGAGTTGGACTAATTGCTTACTGTCAATTTGAAAGTGCACTTTGCAATGTTTTGGGGGGGGTTTCCATGTTTCAAAATACTTAACTCCAACCTATGTCAAGGTTGTATAAATTACGGTTTCACAAATACAAAAGTTAAAAACCAAGCAGTCTTAAAAACTATTGAAAGTCAAGACACAACAAACACTACGACAGAGTTTCGTTCTAGATAAGCTTTTGAGCAGACAGATTTTGTTTTCTAACAGTCTTTTTAATCGATTTGGTTATTTAGAGATTGTAAATTAAATATAAATGTAGATCCAAAAAATTCACATTAGCTTATTCAATTAAATCTGTTCAGGTTATGATGAACAAGTAACAAAACACTGAAACACAGACAGGTTTAACGGCCTTTCATAAAAACCCATTTCAAACAGACCCTTAAAAACTTTAATGATGCAATCCTTGTCTTACAATGAGATGTCCACTATGAGGAGTGTTTCTGACCTATCATAGCCGGTTATTGTAAATAAATGAGCATGTTCAAGTCCAATTGTAATAGAACTCCTGAAACATGAGCTCCCCATTCATGTCTTTGTAGTGCATTTACAGTAGCAGATTTAAACATTGGCAAGGCAACATCCCTACTCAAGCTGAAAATGTTTACCCACACACACTTTCTCTCACAAGCTGAGGAAGCGTTTGCTGTTTTATGTTGCACCGTCATAACAGTCTGTGAGACAGGAATCAAGCATAGCTTTTGTCATAATCTCCAATTTAGGCCCAAGCCCACAGAAAAGCTGAGGGGAAAGATATAAATTCCTCTGAGCCTGGCGCACTGTGAAAGACAGTCTAAAATATAATAATAATAATATGCCATTTAGCAGACGCTTTTACCCAAAGCGACTTACAGTCATGCGTGCATACATATTTTTTTTGTGTACACCTGGCTTTGGTCATATTGGTGGAGGACAAGCATAGTCTTACACTGCAAGTGAAATTTCAAAATAAAACTGATAAACCTTTATTGATTGCTTTCTCTTTTTACATACGGTACTCTCTCACATGCCAAAAAACGGATTGTCACAGTTTTCCAAGATCCTTTGAACTGAAAGGCAGCCTAACTGAGCAGGACTCTAGCTGAAAGCTATGTTCAGTAAATAGTCCACAGACTATTAAAGTGTCATCTCTCTCCAAGGAGACCTTTTCTCCTAACTACCATACAAACATAAGAAACGGGTTTACTAGATTAACATAACTAACAAAACAAACAATGTTGACAGTTATAAAACGTAGATTTTCACCAATCCCAACATGCTGGGTAATCTAATCACTCCTTATAGTGAGCAATAAAATGCACCAATGCAATGGCATCATAATATATCAAAAATCGTCCACCTCTAGCACCAAAAACCCCTCCACCCCAGCTTCTGCTAAAGGTTAAGAACATGATAATAATACTATACAAGATCTCTAAATCAAGTGAGATTATTGTGTGCAAAAGCTAATGATTTATGACCTTCTATGTCCCTGACATTTGATTTCTACCTCCTCTAGTCTTTACTCAGATACTACAAGTACTGTAAAAATGTCTGATTCATACATGACAAATGTAATGGTTATCAATTTCGATAATGAGCCGTCATCAAGTTGTCTACTAACTCGCTGCATAGTACTAATCAGTTTGTCAAAGTAGTTTGTTTTAAGTCTAACAAGAATATATTGTGCATATGTTAGCATTACAGTACAACTTGTGAAGCTTGTGTCCTGGGAAATAAGTGCATTCATAAAGTGTGGCAGGTAAGGTCCAATGAAGGAAAATGCATTTTGAATCATTGAATTAGGCTACTTATACCCAGACTGACAAATACCTCAGTGCATATAGCATACATAACCCAATGTCAAAATGAAGTGAAAAGACAATGTTTCTTAAATCAAGTTTCTCAAGCAACTAAACCCCCACAAGATTTACCAATGATCGACTCAAGTAGAAAATGTGAACGTAAATCCATTTTCAACATGGACAATTCCAACACCACCATCATACACACACTAATGCAGGGGTGGGCAACTTTGGTCTTCATGGTGTCTTTCCTTTAAATCAGCAACTGATTGAGACCTGGGAAACCAGATGTGTGCACTCTGAGCAGTCAGTAGCAGTAGTGCCAGGCATAACTCTTGAGGGAGTTGTCCATCCCTGCTCTAAGGCAATCAATAGTGAGGTCCATTTCGGATTTCCAGTTTCACACACAGTGCTGTACAAAACACTTGGCATCTGATTTGGGCAAGGCATCCACACTGACTCTGATTTACAGAGAAATAATGGAAGACAGAGGATTAGAACAGAAGGCACTTTCACCACCAAGTGTTCCACCATGCTCTACTGTATGTGAAAGGGCACATAGCATGAAAGGTTACACAGAGAGCAGATAGAATGCTGTGTGTCCCACAGTGCTGTGTATTATTTATTTGTATTAATATGAACTTGAAGTAAAGGAATAAAACACCGACAGTTAAAGACATGCTCCAGGACTTTGGCGACTACTAAGTATTTTTTAAACCTCGTGCTTTGGCTGCATGTGTGTGTCAATGTGTAGTTCACACATACATCATCTATGAGCATAATTAGTGTTTTACCTCAATTAGCCACAAAATCCCTAGTTTGAAAGCAACTGTGTTTCTGGAAGCTGTGCTGCGCCATTTTCACTACATTATCCCCCACCTGTGCCAGCCACCTAGTAATTCGAGTTCAACCAATGAGCTTCAGCTCCTCGCCATATCAGTGACAGCTAGCAAGATGCACGATGCACCCACAGCAGAGCGAGACAGAGAGCAATGACATGGTGCACATATGTGACGTAGTACGCAATTTTGGCTCGTGAGCGCTACTTTTAGAACTACTGGCTAAAAACAATGGAGTAATGGAGAATCTCTTTAAGCCTTTTACCACAGTGGACAATGTGTGTAAGGCTTAACCTAAACAGAAAAGGCCTGTTAGGTATTTTTGTTCTCTATGTCTTGAATATCAAACCCTCTTGCAAAAAGCCCCTCTTTAACTAGAAAAAAAGTAACAACAGAAAAATAAAGAAAAATGGCAGATTTCAAAAGTATCTACAGCAATTACTTTGAGAGATGTATATATGTTTCTCCAAATACTATGTAGTGTTGTAGAGATTTAACAAAAATATAACATGTAAATGGGCTCTTCCATGTCAAAACCCACTCCGCCATTATATCTGCTGCTTCCCCGCCTTTCAAACCCAACGCTCAGAAAGAGCTTTGCTTTTTTGTTTTCTTGTTGGGAATAATGAGTGTTAGTGGTCTATGAGTTCTGTGTGTTTCCTTTCCACCCTGTGCCAGGCCCTGTCCGGGTTACCTTGCATCTCATCTGGGTTGCTGCTGGGTTAGGACAGGACATGCCAGAGTTACATTCAGCGAATCATTGTGCTGGACCAGGGAGGTGTGTCTATGGTGGAGCACCAGCTCTCTCAGGGAGCTGTACAGGTTGTAGGGCTCGGCGAAGCCATAGCCCGTGGAGGTCTTGAATATAACACAGTGCTTGATGTCCCCGTCCACACTGAATGTATAGACATGTGAAGTCAAGAACAGAACCTTTGGTTAGCCGAAACCCAGCAGTAGAGGTGATATTTCACCCCCAAAATCACAGTTTGTCAAATGTTTTCCTCAGACCTCAAAAGTGAACTACTATCAAGATCTACACACCATAAATGTTGAAGATCCTGCTACAGTGGTTCCTCAATTAAAAGTTTAGAGCTTATGCCGTGACACGTTTGTGGTAGATGGTGGCAGATTATGGTAAATTGCCTCATTCTGTCATTGCTATCGCAAGGGGGAGTTAGAACGCTGGTTATGCTTTTGGTTTCTCTCCCTGAATAAAAAAAAAAAAAAACTTTATTTACCACAGTGTGGAAAGAGTGAGAGCCCCTCTATATACAGTGGGGAAAAAAAGTATTTAGTCAGCCACCAATTGTGCAAGTTCTCCCACTTAAAAAGATGAGAGAGGCCTGTAATTTTCATCATATGTACGAGTCAACTACGACCGACAAATTGAGAAAAAAATTTCCAGAAAATCACATTGTAGGATTGTTAATGAATTTATTTGCAAATTATGGTGGAAAATAAGTATTTGGTCAATAACAAAAGTTTCTCAATACTTTGTTATATACCCTTTGTTGGCAATGACACAGGTCAAACGTTTTCTGTAAGTCTTCACAAGGTTGTCACACACTGTTGCTGGTATTTTGGCCCATTCCTCCATGCAGATCTCCTCTAGAGCAGTGATGTTTTGGGGCTGTCGCTGGGCAACACAGACTTTCAACTCCCTCCAAAGATTTTCTATGGGGTTGAGATCTGGAGACTGGCTAGGCCACTCCAGGACCTTGAAATGCTTCATACGATGCCACTCCTTCGTTGCCCGGGCGGTGTGTTTGGGATCATTGTCATGCTGAAAGACCCAGCCACGTTTCATCTTCAATGCCCTTGCTGACGGAAGGAGGTTTTCACTCAAAATCTCACGATACATGGCCCCATTCATTCTTTCCTTTACACGGATCAGTCGTCCTGGTCCCTTTGCAGAAAAACAGCCCCAAAGCATGATGTTTCCACCCCCATGATTCACAGTAGGTATGGTGTTCTTTGGATGCAACTCAGCATTCTTTGTCCTCCAAACACGACGAGTTGAGTTTTTACCAAAAAGTTCTATTTTGGTTTCATATGACATTCTCCCAATCCTCTTCTGGATCATCCAAATGCACTCTAGCAAACTTCAGACGGGCCTGGACATGTACTGGCTTAAGCAGGGGGACACGTCTGGCACTGCAGGATTTGAGTCCCTGGCGGCGTAGTGTGTTACTGATGGTAGGCTTTGTTACTTTGGTCCCAGCTCTCTGCAGGTCATTCACTAGGTCCCCCCGTGTGGTTCTGGGATTTTTGCTCACCGTTCTTGTGATCATTTTGACCCCACGGGGTGAGATCTTGCGTGGAGCCCCAGATCGAGGGAGATTATCAGTGGTCTTGTATGTCTTCCATTTCCTAATAATTGCTCCCACAGTTGATTTCTTCAAACCAAGCTGCTTACCTATTGCAGATTCAGTCTTCCCAGCCTGGTGCAGGTCTACAATTTTGTTTCTGGTGTCCTTTGACAGCTCTTTGGTCTTCGCCATAGTGGAGTTTGGAGTGTGACTGTTTGAGGTTGTGAACAGGTGTCTTTTATACTGATAACAAGTTCAAACAGGTGCCATTAATACAGGTAACAAGTGGAGGACAGAGGAGCCTCTTAAAGAAGAAGTTACAGGTCTGTGAGAGCCAGAAATCTTGCTTGTTTGTAGGTGACCAAATACTTATTTTCCACCATAATTTGCAAATAAATTCATTAAAAATCCTACAATGTGATTTTCTGGGGTTTTTTTTCTCAATTTGTCTGTCATAGTTGACGTGTACCTATGATGAAAATTACAGGCCTCTCTCATCTTTTTAAGTGGGAGAACTTGCACAATTGGTGGCTGACTAAATACTTTTTTTCCCCACTGTAAAGTGAGTTTCTGAACCATATTTTCAAGACCTGAGCTATTTAATTTATTTGTTTTATTTATGAACTGTACTAGTTTATTAAGGCAATTTAATTTATTAGTTTAGGCTAGGCATATTTTGTAGGCTATTTTGCAGCATAAAGCTATATTTGTCAGCATAAAGCTGAGTGACTCACTCATTCATGGCTTTGGATCAAAATAAATAAATACCGACATTCTTTATGCCTCAATCCTAAATGTTCCTCAATCCCATAGGTTTGGACGAGCTGAATCAGTTGTGTTACTACTTACTGGAACAAAAGTCTGCACCCATAACGGCCCTTTGCAGATAAGATTGGCCAACCATGTTTTTAGACGGTCCCTACATTTCCTATGCATTTGAGATTTTCGGGCATCTCGGCAGGTGAGGCCGGAAAACATCTGATAAACCTGGCTAAACTGTCTAGCCATATTCCACCCCAAATCATTCTGTGTTGTCTAAAGCCTTGTTCACACGGCAGGCCTTAACGCTCAAATCAGTTTTGTTTCTCAAATCTGTTTCGGAATACTGACTGTCAAACAGCAAGTTACAAATGACCAAACTGGATTTGTGTGTGTTCAGACAGCAGTCATTTGCTGACATGGCTACGCTAGTTGTCATAGTAACGAGGGGTGTGTGCGCGGTGGTGTAGGCTGATTGGTGGTGGTGCTCGTGCTTCCTATCACTCAGAAGTTATGTAGCAAGCTAAGGTGACAACAATGCCTCCCATGCCACCTACAAAGGTGGTTTGAAATGTGGTTTGAAATATCATATTCCATGTGATTTTTGGCTGTTCAGACTGCAGGAAAAAAACAGATTAGAATCGGATATGCAATACTGATGGCGGAAAAAACTCGATACAGTTAACATATCGGATATTATTTTTGACGATATATCGTATCGTATCGTTTTGACAATATCGCAATTTTATGTTTGCGCTAGTTCTGTACCTGCACCAAAATGCCAGTATTTTTCCTTCATAGCTTGTTCTCCATCTTCTTTTTAAATATGTTTTCAGCACTTTTATTTCCTTGACTGATCAAAACTCGTTTTCTCATGGCTCTCTCTTGCCACTCTGCAGCAGCAATATTTTGGAACATCGAATCACAATAAAATCACAGTATCGAATCGCAATACAAATAGAATTGTGAGAATCGCAATACATATTGTATCGGCACCTAAGTATCATGATAATATCATATCGCGAGGTCCCTTGAAATTCCCTGCCCTAATATGCAAATACATTTGATTTGAGTCACTTCAAACCGCCAGTGTGAACAAGGCTTTACAGACCCCAGATCAGGCTAATGGGACTCACACTACAGAGCAGGCATAGGAGCCCTTCTGGGACTGGCTGTCTCGAATCAGGAAAGTGCCATCACCCTTGCCCCTCAGCAGCTCCTCGGCCTGGCCGCGCTTGATGTCGCCCACGTACCAGGTGCGCTCGTCGTGGTGCGGCAGGTCTTCCTCCTCATCCACCAGAGAATACAGGCTGGGAGGTAGAGGAGGGGAAGAACGACAGACATGGGGATGAAACCATTGTCGATACGATACATCATAAGACATGATAATACATGGTAATACATTGCAACTGGCAAATGGCTACATTGGTTTCACTCACTCTTCCACGTCGTTCTTGATCCCCAGCCACTCGTTAATCTTCTTCTGTCTGGTGCCCTTCTGATTGAGCCACCTGGGACGTTAACACAAGCAAGCTGTTAGACTGCCATGTTCCTAAATATTGTCGTTTCGCATTGTGCAGTGTGTGTGGTAGAAGGGTAAAACTTACACCAGAGACTGGTCTCGGATCTTCCTCAGCTGCATGAGGTCCGGTTTTAGGCTGTTCATCTTCTTATCGATCTCTCGGTTGTCCGCCGCATGCTCCTTCAGATCCTGCTCTAGCTTCCTCTTGTTGTCATGGATCTCAGTCACCCGCGACTTCAGCTTATCTGAATTACTTTGGATTCTGGAAGATGGAGCGACAACATTGGGAGTTCCCCCACTTTATAATCATGATCACTACCGGCTTCATAGTCAATCAGGAAAATCCTAGAGCAAGCAATGTACTGTGGATACCTCTCAATCTCTTTCCTGTTGCCCTCCCTGTGGAACTGGTCAATGTACTCCTTGCTGTAGCTCTCTTGGGTCTCGCACTGCTCCTCGAAGATCTTGATGGTCTCGTTGAAGGCCTCGATGGCCGTGCGCTTCATCTGTAACTCCTGAAGTACATGGAAAACAGACGAGATTGTGCTAATTTCAAGTGCTATGGAGCCCAGACCCAAATGTGACAGTGAAAACATATGTACCTGAGAGGTGCGAGTATACTCTTCATACAAGACATCATATTCCCAGCTCTTCTCCTGGTATTGTTCGTGGTACACCTTCAGTTGCTCTCCTACTGCTTCCACATTGTCCTCTTTCACCACCTGGTCCTGGAAATAACAAAGAGCACAAGTCATTAACTGACCACAGCACGATGTTGAGATACAGTACATTCAATGTGGGCTCAGTGTATTTCAAATAGAGAAGGGCAGCAAGCAAACTGTTCTCGCCTAAACAGAATTGTTTGCTAACATTTCAGACAAGCTTAAGTGCTCTTTGGGAATGCCATGGGTTATTTTCCTTAACGCATGTGCCATAAGAAATGTAGGGCCTTCCAGAAAGCATCGGGTGCTGTTCGAAGGCTGCATTCCTTTTCTCTTATATCATCTCTATTTAAAAACCAAGTAGTCCCATTGAGATAAGGCCCAGAAGCCAAACCAATATTGAGGCCCTTCAGAACAGGATACAGAACACTATAATAATAATAACAGAATGAGCCTACCTGCTGATATTTGGAGATGGGGTACAGTAGCCGTGAGTCCAGCTTGGGGTTGTACTGGGCCAGCGACTCGTGGTGATAATACAGGATGAGCTCTACCACAGAAGCAAAGGTCAGCGGCTCAGAGAAGCCGTACTTGCCTCCTTGGTGGAAGATCTTGATCAGCTTGTTGTTTCCTCCTTTCCTAGAAGAGTCCGGAGACGTTGTGCAACGTTACTGAGGTTCTGTGAAAGACTCTGGAACCTATCCAAAGTGGTAAAATGCCATTGCATTTGAAATGAGTTACTAGGCGAGCGCGAACTTGGAGTGTATTTTAAGAGGGACAAAATAGCCACTTTTAGACAGACTTCATTATTAATACCCTTACCTGAGAGTCAATGTGTATTCTCCTTGCACCTTGCTTGAGGCATCTCGGACCAAGAAAGTGCCATCCGGTGTGTCTCTCATCTTCTCATTCACCTCCTCTCTGGAAAAATATATACAAATATATATCATGATTATGTAATTAAAGATGGGTGAGTAAGACAAGTGACAATATTTTCTTCTTGAAACAGAAGATCTTGGTTTCAACTGTAAATAACCAAGTGTGGATATCCATTATTTATCAATTTTACCTGGAAATGTCTCCCCAGTACCACTCTGCATCAGCCATCTTGCTGCCATCTCCATTGATGACAGAAGATGCCATGGCTTTGGTTTTGGAAGGCTTGGGAGGTAGGGCTGTCAAAGGAACCAATTGGTGGTGGTGGTGTTACAATACAGTGGGACTTCCATTCAAAATTTACCCAGGAGGCAAAGATGGGTTTTTAGTGCTACATTGTTGTGAACTTGTGTGTTTACCTGGTGACATTTGGTCCAGCTCCCAGGCCCTCGCCACCAGCAGTCTCTCCAGCAACTGGGCAGAAACCTGATGACCTTCTTCTGACCTGGACACAAATAAATACACTCATACGTCAGTCATTCAGAGTACGGTGGAAAGCTTTGCTATTACAAGTAAATAAGGTAGAGAGAGTGGTTCAATGGGATAAGGAGGGGGGGTCATATTTTACAATAGTACCAGATGGATGGGTGCCATAATAACACCTCAGTTACTAACACGTGGGACATTGGAGAGGTGCTGAGGGGACGTATATTCTGCTGACTACAAAGAATAGTGTCCTTCCAGGAAAACAGACAGGTGTTATGGCTTCAATCTCTATCTGGCTCAACCTGGGGTCCAGTCCTACAGCCAGACACTCTGTAGACTAACAACAGCATGTGCTCAAGAGGATGCTGGCACTGTTAATGCATTCTCTTCCTCTCTGTGTCTGTAGGCTGGCCAGTGTGTCTCTCTCCCTCTCTCACTGGCATAACATAGCCCTCATAAAAGTGGCACTTATGAAGATGGGAGGTTTTTATCCCCCCTTTAAGATTAGTCTAAATTTGAGTTTAGGTAAAAACTAATATTTTGGATGAAAGTTTCATGACCAACATAGGTACAGTATTTGTTTAAATGTGAGACTGACCCAGCGGTGAGCAGAAGAGAGCTGAAGTGGAATGCGAAGGTGTGGGGATCCAGGCCGTTGTAAGCCGAGCTCTGGCCCACTCGGCCCAGGTGTCTGAGCAGGTACTGCAGGGTGAGCAGGCTCGGCAGGGTCAAGGCCGGGGGCTCCAGTGCCTTCAGCAAACGCCTGCCTGTCTCCTCGATGGACAGCTCTGGGATATAAGCGCGAGCAAGTTGACAATCTTAGTGCCTTGGGTGTGAGACACAATGGTAAGTAGGCAACATTATTTTCTATCCGATGCCAAATTAACATATTTTGCTTTCCATTTCTAAGCGATTCCAAAATATACACAATTATTTCGACAGTCCTGATAGTGTGCTTCAATGACGGCCTTTAAATTATTTTCCTTAGCTTTGTTCGCCACCAAGTAGAATATGCTCCTGGAATCCCTTGCATCAGTTCTTAATGAGATACATGAAGAAGCATGTGAGTGCTAAAGGCGCTGTTACCTGCTTCCTCTTGCAGGGCAGTCTTCAGGCTGGGATAGATAGACTCTGGGATGACGGGGGAGGGCAGGTCCTGCAGGAATCCCATCAGGGCTTCTGAGAGAGCCTGGGTGTCGTACTGGCGCATCTCAGGCCCAGAGAGCTCTGTAAAAGACCACAGGATCACTTTAGTTGCTAAGTCAGACACTGCAGAGTCCATTTGTGTACATCGCTGTTTCTCCTGTTCTGTGGTAAGGACTCCAGACAGTGTTGTTGTGGTGTGGCCAGCGTTACTGGTGTGGCTAAGTGTGCTGTCTGGGAAACAGTGTCCAGAATAGTCCTACGACAGGTGACGGTGTCTGAGTGCCTAAAATAACGTCCTACTCCTCTTCCACCGCTGCGACAGGCAGGCCAGACTGGCTGGGAGCTGCTTACTGCTCCGTCACGCCTCAGCTAGCAAACAACAGCTGTCTGAAAAGGCCTGCCTGGCTCGGCCCAGCTCTCTATCTGAGCAGATAGACTGTGGGGAGAGTGTCTGGCATGTGTGAGCACAGGGAGGGGAGAATCTGGGTTGTTCTGTCTGTCTGTGGCATGTGAAAGGTATGTGTGGGTGGGGGGGGATCTAGCCTACATCGTTCCGTCTCCACATGCAGCAAGTCCCAGGTCACATGAACCCTAGGAACAGCCTCTCCAAGTAAACACATCCTACAAAACACACAGTGTTCACTTTCTCCAGTTGAAACAAACAGTGTCATGGATATGGTCAGTCACATTATAGATATGCACATATAACAAGCGGAACATTAACTTGTAGAGCCAATTCTATTGCATTTAATGTAATCGTACTGCCAATTTTACTGAGTTACAGTTCATATAAGGAAATCAGTCAATTTAAATAAATGAATTAGACCCTAATCTATGGATTTCACGACTGGGAATACAGATATGCATCTGTTGGTCACAGATTACTTATTTTTTAAAGGTAGATCAGAAAATCAATCAGTATCTGGTTTAACCACCATTTGCCTCATGTAGCACGACACATCTCCTTCGCATAGAGTTGATCAGGCTGTTGATTGTGGCCTGTGGAATGTTGTCCCACTCCTCTTCACTGGCTGTGTGAAGTTGCTGGATATTGGCGTGAAATGGAACACGCTGTTGTACACGTCGATCCAGAGCATCCCAAACATGCTCAATGGGTGACATGTCTGGTGAGCATGCAGGCCATGGGAGAAATGGGACATTTTCAGCTTCCTGGAATTGTGTACAGATCCTTGCGACATGGGGCCGTGCATTATCATGCTGAAACATGAGGTGATTGAGGTAGATGAATGGCATGACAATGGGCCTCAGGATCTCATGAAGGTATCTCTGTGCATTTAAATTGCCATCGATAAAATGCAATTGTGTTAGTTGTCCGTAGCTTATGCCTGCCCATACCATAACCCCACCACCACCATGGGGCACTCTATTCACAACGTTAACATCAGCAAACCGCTCGCCCACACGATGCCATACACGCTGTCTGCCATCTGCCCAGTACAGTTGAAACCGGGATTCATCCGTGAAGAGCACACTTCTCCAGTATGCCAGTGGCCATCGAAGGTGAGCATTTGCCCACTGAAGCCGGTTATGACGCTGAACTGTAGTCAGGTCAAGACCCTGGTGAGGACGACGAGCACGCAGATGAGCTTTCTGACCGTTTGTGCAGAAATTATTTGGTTGTGTAAACCCACAGTTTCATCAGCTGTCCGGGTGGCTGGTCTTAAGACGATCCCGCAGGTGAAGAAGCCAGATGTGGAGGTCCTGGGCTGGCAAGGTTACACCTGGTCTGCGGTTGTGGGGCCGGTTGGATGTACTACCAAATTCTCTAAAACGACGTTGGAGGTGGCTTATGGTAGCAACATTTATGTAAAATGATCTGGCAACAGCTCTGGTGGACATTCCTGCAGTCAGAATGCCAATTGCACGCTCCCTCAAAACTTGAGACATCTGTGGCATTGTGTTGTGTGACAAAACTGCACGTTTTAGAGTGGCCTTTTATTGTCACCAACCCAAGGTGCACCTGTGTAATGATCATGCTGTTTAATCATGCTGTCAGGTTGTCACGATCGTCTGAAGGAGCGGACCAATGCGCAGCGTTGCGAGTGAACATGATGACTTTATTATTTAAAGCAACCACGAAGAAAACAACAAATGACGATACGTGAAGTTCAAAATACTGATACAGACTAACAGCAACACGGAAACAATAACCCACAAAACAAAGGAGAAAACACACACAGTTAAATATGGCTCCCAATCAGAGATAACGAGCCGACAGCTGACACTCGTTACCTCCGATTGGGAGTCACTGACCAAACATAGAACGAGAACACCTAGACACTAAACACAGTACAAAACACACGGAAATCTACACACCCTGACTCAACATAAAAAGTCCCAGAGCCAGAGTGTGACAGTACCCCCCCCTAAAGGCGCGGACTCCGACCGCGCCTACACCCCAAATAGGGGAGGGCTGGGTGGGTGTTGCTCCTCGGAGGCGGCTCCGGGCTTGACCACCACCCTTCTTCAATCCCCCCGTAGCGCCCCCGGTCCGATCTAACCCAGCTGGTAGGATCTGGACTGACGACGCGCACCCCTGGCTTGGCGCGTGCGGCGGGAACGGACCGGACCTGGCTGACGATACGCACCCTAGGCTTGATGCGTAGAGCCGGAACGGGCCTCACCAGGCTGACGACTCGCATCCCTGGCTTTGTGCGAGTAGCAGGAATGGGCTGGATCAGGCTGACGGCTCGCACCCTTGGCTTGGTGCGAGTAGCAGGGACGAGCTGAACCAGGCTAACGACTCGCACCCTTGGCTTGGTGCGAGTAGCAGGATCGGGCTGGACCAGGCCGACGACTCGTACCCCTGGCTTGGTGCGAGTAGCAGGAACGGGCTGGACCAGGCTGACGACTCGCACCCTTGGCTTGGTGCGAGTAGCAGGAACGGGCTGGACCAGGCTGACGACTCGCACCCTTGGCTTAGTGCGAGTGGCAGGAACAGGCCGGGCCGGGCTGGCGACGCGCACCGTAGGTTTAGTGCGAGTGGCAGGAACAGGCCGGGCCGGGCTGGCGACGCGCACCGTAGGTTTAGTGCGAGTGGCAGGAACAGGCCGGGCCGGGCTGGTGACGCGCACCGTAGGTTTGGTGCGAGTGGCAGGGACAGGCCGGGCTGGGCTGGCGGCGCACACCGTAGGTTTGGTGCGAGTGGCAGGAACAGGTCGGGCTGGGCTGGAGACGCACACCGTAGGCTTTGTGCGTAAAGCAGGAACAGGCCGGGCTGGGCTGACGACGCGCACCACTGCCTTGGTGGGAATGGCAGGAACAGGCCGAACCGTACTGGGGACACAAACCACTGGCTCCACGCAGGGATCAGGAACGGGCCGGACCGGACTGGTAACACATCCCAGTACCTCTCGCCGTGCCTCCACACTTTCCCTCTCCTCTGTGCCCAGTGGCCCCCCTAACCTGGCGGCCCTCTCTGCCAACGCTTTGCACCACTCTAACCCGTACACCTGCTGCCCGACGTCGTGAGCCCCCCCCTAAAAATTTCCTGGGGGTCTCTCCTCCCCGTGGCCCAGGCCTCTCTCCCTCCTGCCAGACTCGCAATCATCTCCTGCCACGTCCATCCTCTCTCCTCGTCCCGCTGCTTGATCCAGTCGAGGTTTCCACGGCGATCTGCCAGCGATGGCTCCTGAACACGCTGCTTGGTCTGGTTATGGTGGGTTATTCTGTCACAATCGTCTGAAGGAGCGGACCAATGCGCAGCGTTGCAAGTGAACATGATGACTTTATTATTTAAAGCAACCACGAAGAAAACAACAAATGACGATACGTGAAGTTCAAAATACTGATACAGACTAACAGCAACACGGAAACAATAACCCACAAAACAAAGGAGAAAACACACACAGTTAAATATGGCTCCCAATCAGAGATAACGAGCCGACAGCTGACACTCGTTACCTCCGATTGGGAGTCACTGACCAAACATAGAACGAGAACACCTAGACACTAAACACAGTACAAAACACACGGAAATCTACACACCCTGACTCAACATAAAAAGTCCCAGAGCCAGAGTGTGACACAGGTGGAGGGATTATCTTGGCAAAGTAGAAATGCTCACTAACAGGTTTTCTTTAGAGAAATAAGGTTTTTGTGCGTATGGAATATTTCTGGATCTTTTATTTCAGCTCATTACATTTACGTTACATTTCAGTCATTTAGCAGACGCTCTTATCCAGAGCGACTTACAGTTAGTGAGTGCATACATTATTTTATTTGTTTATACTGGCCCCCTGTGGGAATCGAACCCCACAACCCTGACGTTGCAAACGCCATGCTCTACCAACTGAGCTACATCCCTGCCGGCCATTCCCTCCCCTACCCTGGACGACGCTGGGCCAATTGTGCGCCGCCCCATGGGGTCTCCCGGTCGCGGCCGGCTACGACAGAGCCTGGATTCGAACCAGGATCTCTAGTGGCACAGCTAGCACTGCGATGCAGTGCCTTAGACCACTGCGCCACTCATGAAACATGGGACCAACACTTTACATGTTGCGTTTATAGTTTTGTTCAGTATATATCAACAATTCTTTACACTGTTTGGAAAGTATTTAAATGGCAGTACCCAAGTATTTCAATGGCAGAAAAATCCCTGGATTGTCTTTAGGGGGGAGAACAGCAGAGCCGGGTTTCTTTGATCCGTTTGAACAGGCTGGCCTATTTCTCTACACAAACAAAGGCTGTGTTATTGGCACACTGTTGAAATAGAGCAAAGACAAATAGAGCATGCAGTGGATCCTCCAGGAGTGGGAATCACAAGCGCAGCATGTTAATAACCCTCCGAGTTAAGATGGAATTTAACCTATTTAACTGAACTCAATAGGCAAGGCTATAGTCTGAACAGCACCACAGATCACTGAAGTCACAGGGTTGGGAGTAAATCCCTTTTTATCCCATTGGAATGGATGCCTCTAGCCGAACATGGCAACAAACTATATCAACTTGTATAGCTCAGCAAGAGATGAATGTAAGAACAATGCATGCATGCACAAACATAAGGTGTAAGAGAGGAAGAGACTCTGTCTCTGACCGCCAGCAGCCAAGGAGCCATGTAGCCTATAAAGGGTCTCACACTCCAAACCTGCAAGAGTTTCCCACACACACACACAAGTTAACTCACCCTTCTGAAATAGTCTCTTCTCTCATGGCATGCCTGGATTAGTGGGTCAGTAACACATATAAACATCCAAAATACAGCACCCAGAGTTTAAAATACATGGCCAAGACGCTAACTGGAACACGGCGTGTTTCAACGTTAACCTGGCCTTTCACATGCTACCCAGAGGCCAAGGAGCCCCTTTTAGGAGTGCTAAGTCTGAAGGGTCTAAGACCAGATGGCGGGAGGAAAGGTTGTCTGATTGGTGATCAGGAGTAGAGGTGTGAGAGGAAAGGTGAATTCCTATCAAATCCCATGCGTCTCCCCTAGCCGATAAACACTTTCAAATGTCACTGTTTCTAGACCATAGGGATCGAAATGGACCATGATAAAAATCTAAATAAATATAATATAATATGCCATTTAGCAGACGCTTTTATCCAAAGCGACTTACAGTCATGTGTGCATACATTTTTACGTATGGGTGGTCCCGGGGATCGAACCCACTACCCTGGCGTTACAAGCGCCATGCTCTACCAATTGAGCTACAGAGGACCACATGCCAGGAAGTAAAAACAGGAAGTGTACCTTCAATCTGTGCTGTGATTTGTTGAGTCAACTCAATTGACATGACAAAAAATACATTCCATGAGTCACATCAGTTAGCCTCATTTGAATGAACATTCCAAAATACCATGGAAATTATTGCATCACAATATATGGCAGCCATTACGAGTGTACCCATGAGTTAACCAGTGAATTAATTGCCAGGGTTAGAGGTTTGAAGCCCGTTCTATTAATTCTTATTTCTATGGTATTTTCCAAATATATGTATTCATATGTCATGTCATGCATAAAATATCCCCTACCAAAGCATTGGTTTACATGTAAGTATGGTAACTGATACATTCATGCCAAATCAAAAGTACTATGTGGCATATTTTCAGGTCAATGCTGCTGGCTATCTTGGCAAATTACTTGTACTAAACACCTCAGATTCAAAAGTGTTCTGATATCACACAGCCATCTTACCTTTTTTCTCAATGGCCTCTACCAACTTCACCAAAGTGGGGGGGGACATTTTCTGGGGGAGGAAACGGCTGGACAAACTCATGAGCTGAAGTCCCTGGAAGACAAATAGGATAGGCCTTGATAATGTTTAAAATCAATGAAAACTACAACAGCCCGTCAAATAACTACATCTATTCACAACAACAAAACCCAGTTGAATTTTCTTTCAGGCATTTCACTCTCGCCTCCTTCACTCCATGGCAGGCCCTGTTTCCCCATGGCCCTTTGCACGAGAAGGGTTATGCAAACGTCTCAGTGCAGTACAATTAAGGATTTCATAAAAAACCCTGAACAGGCAAAACCTCAGTTGGCAGCGCACCAGAGCCTCATTTTCGGGCCCACCGCAAAAAGCTTGGCGCTTCGCACCCTTTGCCTCCTGGCAGCGCAAGCCTACAGTAAACCAGGGGTCTGATTAATAATTCTGGAGTTCACACAAAGTAACAAAAAAATGAAAAAAAATACTCAGCACATTCCCCCTCTCTGTTGCACGTTAAACATGGAAACTCCCTGGCTCTCGTTTTCCCTCCCGCATAAAGTCCGCCCCATCCCCCTGCTTCTCTTCTGCCTTCACTCTTCGAGGGTCGCCTCTCTCAAATGCCCTGGAACCTAGCTGATGTGAACTATGTTTGATTAGGTCTTGTCAAGTTGTTACTGTACAATAAAGTAGAAATTACCTAACATCAAAATAAATGTATAAAGAAAGCATATTGCCCTGTACAATAAACAGTGCATTAGACTACATAAAGCTATGTTGCAAATAGTGTTGGCATACAAAATGGCTTTCAAGAACTGTGTGTGTGTGTGTGTGTGTGTGTGTGTGTGTGTGTGTGTGTGTGTGTGTGTGTGTGTGTGTGTGTGTGTGTGTGTGTGTGTGTGTGTGTGTGAAAAGTTCAGGAACGAGAAGTGAGCAGAGGACTTCTAAGCCAAATAATATAATATAAATCACTCACAGAATAATATCAAAGACAAGAGGACTCAATAAAAAACACCACTCAAGAAGTACCCTAGGGACTGCATTTACGATCTGAAAATACACCTGTTGGCCACTACACAAAATATTGCCAGAATTCAACCCAAGAGGGCAGAATGGAGCCAAGCTAAACAGTCAAGATTAGGCCACCTATTACATTTTAGTCATTTAGCAGACGCTCTTATCCAGAGTGCATACATTTTTTTTCTTCATACTGGGCCCCCTATTCAACACATTATCGGAAAGGAACGATTTCCTAGATTTAAAAACTTAGCAGCATTATGGTGTGTACAGAACATTAATTATTCAGCCCAGTAATGACATACATATCCTGTACATCTGTCTTTCAAAGCCAATAGGTTATATTTCTTTTCCTCAACTCTCACATACGTGTCTACACACAGACACAAGCAAAGTTGCCCAGATTTTTGGGCTTTGTGCAAAATAATATAGCTTTTTTTGGAAAAGCAGCTGTAACCCTGGGTTTTAAGGAAAGGAACCAACTAATCATTGCTTGCCTAGGAATCTTGGCAAAGCCTTCCTCTGAAAATGCCCTGCGAAGCAGTAAGCCTACGACTATACCACCCTGGGAGTTCCTGGGATGTTGAGCAAGCAACAGCTTTTTCCCCATTTCAGCAATTTAACTCTTTCAAAGTCTCTGCAGGCCTCACGGTGGCATTTCTAAGCAGTTTCATTCTTCTCCAGCTGTTTGGTTTGATGGAAGTAATGTGGAGAAAATCAATAAAAAACCTGTACACACTGCCTGCTCAACCCAGATCGTAGAACCATGGTCACTCCCTGTCCCAAGGCTGCGTATCATTCCTAGTCCATTGGCTACACTAAATCATGTGCCTCGTGCAGACAGACTAAATATAACTAACATAGGTCCCACCATTAAAATAAGCCCCTAACGTTCACCAATTAAAATAATGAGAATGTAGAGCATGTCTTGAAAAAACGTACAGTATGGGAGAGTCTTTTTCTCCAAGGACGAAGGTAGTTTGTGAAAATAAATACATAAAAAAGTCTAAATTGCATGTCAAGTTCATATTGCACTCAATCCACCTGTACAATATCACCCACTATCCTTACTTTTCCTCAATCTCTCATTCAATATGCACCGCTGATGACAAGGGTTTGCCTAAAGCCTAATTTATTATACCCGACGTACATTATGCAATGCAAGAACAAATTTAGCTACGCAAAATATCTGTCCTGTGTAGATTCGTCACAAAAATACCCAAAAGTGTACAGGCCAAAAGTTGTAAATAGATGCAGCTACGCAGGGAAGCCATTTTGCGTAACTAATTGTGTTGCATACATACTTTGGGTATAAATTAGGTTTAACTCCAACTCAAATTGTGTCAATAATTTTTTCACATGCACTTGAGTGCAAATTGTCAGTAATGAAAAGGAAAAACGACACTACAACCCGTGGCATTTTAGAGATAGAAGAGTTACATGGGTTAGGATTTTAGGATCCAGCAAAGAGAGGGTATGTGTGACTCTATGAGAGCAAGATTAAATGTATCCAACAGGCTAACAGGTTGGAATAGCTAAGGCAGCTGTGGGAACCATCTCCATTTAGAGAGGAACTGAGCTGACCTGCCCCCCTACAGGGAATGAATATAAGGCAAACCCAGAGAAATGTGCTGCTTCAGTAGAAAGCTCCCCTACCTGTTCTACAAGTGCCCTTTTCACACTGGCCTGGTGCTTTGTCCAAGCTCCCAAAGCAAGCAAAACAATTTACTGCCTACAGAACGGAGGACTGAAAGGAAGGGGAGAGGACTAACAGGCAGAAAATGGAGGTACAATGGGAAATGGAAGGTGGGCAGATACTGTGAAGACAAGAATCATGGGTAAATGGGAAAAGTAAATAAGAAGAGGACGTGACATATTAAAGAGCAAAAAAAGGGGGATAATATGGACCGTTAAAAAAGTAGACAGGATTTGTAGCCCTTTTTATACTACTGTACTCTTGTATGCAGAAGTTAATCATTTGAATTGTTTTGTTATTAAACTATTTTGAATGAATCTATGACCTTGCTTGGAGTGTATACTGTAAGTAGTACTAGACAGTGCAGAGCTGCAGTCCTACCTCGCTGTGCTGGGGGTCTGAGGTCTGGGGGCTGCTGGGAGGGGTCTCTGCTGCCGAGGCTGGTCGGGAGCCACGTACATCTTCACAGGCCCCACATACTGGACATACGTCCCAGGGAAGTCTCCCCTCTGCTTGGTGCGCTCGTTGACTCCAATGATCCATCCCAGGCGCTCCGGGTGCTCCTCGTCCCCATCCTTGAGTGCAAGGGACATCAGTGACGTCTTGCTGACGGTCAGTATGTCCCCTGACTGGAGGTCAAGGTCCTCCTCCCAGTCTTTGTTGTAGACATAAAGCGTGCGGAATTGGAAGCCCTCTACAGCCATGTGCAAAGATGTCCAACTATGATACACACTGACCAGGGCAGTGACGTGCCAGAGTGTTGAGGATGTTTATTGTGATGGCAACACTATTCAGGCACTATCACCTAAAACTAAGAAGCATGGCTGAACTCTGAGTGTTAGTGTTAATGGTTAGAACTCAGAGCTGGCCTGTGTTTGAGAAATAAAGCACTTTCCTCAGCTTGATCCCCCAGTTTAACCAGACAATGGAGCAGAGAAACGGCATTGGCAACATGCTCTTTGGAAAGACCAGAGACTTGCAGGTCAGAGCTGAACCAAAGTAGTGCTCTGATTTGCCCTGGTAAGAATGTATGAATGAGTGGTGTGGGGCTGCCTCTTCAGTGACTCTGACCACTTCGTAATGAATCTTCCAAGTTTTCTTGAGGAAAGATCTACAGAAGACAAAAGACAGATTTAGAAAATAAAATGCATAACATTAAGCAGATGTGGCCAAATCAATGAGTATCTTCCATCCAAAGTAGAAACCTTAAAACCCAACAAACGTTATCCCATCATTTGGTTTGCCCAAGGATACCATGGATATAAATCTATGAAACTGTCAACTTAAATTTAAAGGGGCTAGCCTAAGCCTACATTCCCCTCGAATAATAAGCACCAAGTGTTCTTAATCTCAGTCCATTATCACTGACACGCAACAAATTCAAATCTTATGACGCCACTGATTAAATGAAATTAATTAGGATATAGTCAATAAATCAAGGCATAATCCATTTTAGGTTAGGCCATCTATTTTCGATCATGCTTCATAGACTGATGCACTTGAACTATTGCATTGAGTAAAGTACAATATCTTAAAGATCCAATGCATGTGTTTTTATCTCAATATCAAATCATGTCTGGGTAACAATTAAATACCTTAGAGTGATTGTTTTCAATTTAAAGTGTCAAAAATAAACAAAAATAGCTTAGCAAAGAACAATTTCTCAAGCAAGAATTTTGCTAGGTCTGTCTGGGAGTGGTCTGAGTAGGGAGGGGAAAATGAAAAACTAGCTGTTATTGGCAGAGAGGTTTGGAACGCTCTTGCTTATTGGTCTATTAACGAATTTACCGCTTGGTGATGTCACCAGGCAGGCCACCAAAACAGGCTGAAGTTTCAGGTGGTCTTTTACATTTACATTTTAGTCATTTAGCAGACGCTCTTATCCAGAGCGACTTACAGTTAGTGAATACATTTTTTTTTTTTATACTGGCCCCCCGTGGGAATCAAACCCACAACCCTGGCGTTGCAAACGCCATGCTCTATCAACTGAGCTACATCCCTGCCGGCCATTTCCTCCCCTACCCTGGACGACGCTGGGCCAATTGTGCGCCGCCCATGAGTCTCCCGGTCGCGGCCGGCTGCGACAGAGCCTGGATTCGAACCAGGATCTCTAGTGGCACAGTTAGCACTGCGATGCAGTGCCTTAGACCACTGCGCCACTCAGGAGTACTTTTCAAACAGCTCCTACACTAAAAGGGCATTATCATCATTTGCACAGTACTATTCCAACCTCATAGTGTGGAAATATATATAAAACACAGGAATATCACGTTTTTGACTGCACTGGGCCTTTAATTGCATGTTAATTTTGCCTGATCTGCAAAATATTACCCTGACTTTAAATGATGTGGAAACATCGCAGTAATTACCTATGGATATGATAACTATAAGGCTGTGTTTACACAGGCAGCCCAATGTCTTTTTTCGACTAATTGGTCTTTGACCAATCACATCAGATCTTTCTACTTCAGATCTTTTTCAGAGCTGATTTGATTGGTCAAAAAAACAATTAGTGAAAAAAAGACCAGAATGAGCTGCCTGTGTAAAAGCAGCCAATGTTCTCCCCACAACATGTTACAGTGGTGCATCCACAATGCACATCTATAGCAAGAAGGTTTTAAGGCCAACAAGCTACTTGGCAACTCAGCAGATGTACTCAAAAGCCAGTAAAAAAGCCTGCAATTCGATACTGGACACAGCTCAGTTAAGTTATTTAACATATATTAGGTCTAGTGTATACCTTGTGCTGCCTGAGTAGCCATTCAAAACTCACTCATTATTTTCATTCTATTTGTTAACATCCAAACACATTGAGAGAACTGAGAATATGGTCATCTTCCATATGGAACTTCGGTACTTTTTATGATACTATAACATGACAAACCCAAGAATATCATGGCATGAACAGAATGCATCAGTGATTCGTATCCCTGCAACTTTCTGAAGAGGCAACTGCACAGGAATGCCCCTGTCTGTGTGTACGCGGTGCCATTATGTCTAACACTTTGTGTAGCTGTTAGCGATGCTAATAATAACCGTCTTCAGGTAGATGGAAAGGATTTTCCGAAAACCTTCCCAATCAAAAGTGAACTACAAAGAAGCCTATGCCTACCTGGCAGAATCAAGATTTATTTGGCATCAATCCAGTGTGCATTTGTTTTGCAAACTCCATCACATGTGAGCTACAGAAACACTGCTAACCAACAACAGTTCTAGGTGAATGAGCAATTGAATTAAAGGGTAACTAATCACAAAAAAATCTGAGACCTCAAAACTGGTCTCCTGATGTGGTTTAAACATTGTTGTGGACTTAGAACATCCAATATAGTTTTTTTTGTTTTTTGTTTTTTTAAGTGTGATTTTCACAGCGAAAACCTTCAAAAAAGTCACCAGAACTGACCTCACAGTCCTTCCGCCCGCTATCTTTTTTTGCTGTGGTATTGTTTTGGTATTGAGTACCGTGATACTCAACCTGGTACCGGTATGGAGTTGGTCCCCCTTTTGCAGCTATAACAGACTCCACTCTTCTGGGAAGGCTTCCCACTAGATGTTGGAACATTGCTGCGAGGACTTGCTTCCATTCAGCCAAAAGAGCATTAGTGAGGTCGGGCACTGATGTTGGCCGATTAGGCCTGGTTCGCAGTCGGCGTTGCAATTCATCTCAAAGGTGTTCGATGGGGTTGAGGTCAGGGCTCTGTGCAGGCCAGTCAAGTTCTTCCACACCGATCTCGACAAACCATTTCTATATGGACCTCGCTTTGTGCACGGGGCCATTGTCATGAAACAGGAAAGGGCTTTCCCCAAACTGTTGCAACAAAGTTGGAAGCACAGAAACGTCTAGAAAGTCATTGTATGTTGTAGTGTTAAGATTTCCCTTCACTGGAACTAAGGGGCCTAGCCCAAGCCATGAAAAACAGCCCCAGACCATTATTCCTCCTCCACCAAACTTTACAGTTGGCAGTATGCATTCGGGCAGGTAGCGTTCTCCTGGCATGGAAACCCATTTCACGAAGCTCTCGACAAACAGTTATTGTGCTGACGTTGCTTCCAGAGGCAGTTTGGAACTCGGTAGTGAGTGTTGCAACCAAGGACAGACGATTTTTACGTGCTTCATTACTTGGCGGTCCCGTTCTGTGAGCTTGTGTGGCCTACCACTTCACGGCTGAGCCGTTGTTGCTTCTAGACGTTTCCACTTCACAATAACAGCACTTACGGTTGACCGGGGCAGCTCTAGCAGGGCCGAAATTTGATGAACTGACTTGTTGGAAAGGTCGCATCCTATGACGGTGCCACACCGAATGTCACTGAGCTCTTCAGTAAGGCCATTCTACTGCCAATGTTTGTCTATAGAGATTGCATGGCTGTGTGCTCTATTTTATACAAATAGCCGAATCCACTAATTTGAATGGGTGTCCACATACTTTTGGCCACGCGGTGTATAGTATCAGATAATTTACATTTATTGCATATTTAATGAGGAAAATGTCTATAATATCATCTTCTAGACAAATACCATTCTATAGCTTAATGTAATGAATTAGCCTATCAAGTCAAACATTTGAGTAAAAAAGATGTTACATTTGGAAATTCTTGAACATTTAATTTTGAGAAAGGTGCACATAGCTTCATTAGGCAATAAATGAAATTGGTCGGAAGGCAGAAATGTTATATTTCAGCCCACATAGTCCAATGTGATTAATTGTTAAATGTTTGCAATTTTGATATTTCAATTAAACTATATATTGCATGTTTTTGTCACATAGCCTTGGCCTAGATATGTCAAGATTCAGGCATATGCCTAAATTCACAGTACTGTGCAGTATTATAGGTAACTGACTATTTAAAATGGCACATATGTTTATTTCTGACACAATGTATCTAAAACAACTGTTAATAAATAGCCTTTAACCAAACAGATATAGCTGACTGATGCTCAGCTGGACTCAAAACTATTATAAACAGTGCAGTGGGTGCCCAGGATTAACGTTGAGAATGACTAATGAGACCAGACCTGATTTACATGAACATGTAAGTAGGCCTATTTGTATTTGAAAAACGATTTGTAGGTGTTAGTAAATCAAATGGGCCAAAACCATTAACCTATCCTATGTTAGCCAGCCATAATTCTTTTAGTAATGCCTGATTGAAGCTATTTGCAATACAAGGTAGGCCTAAGCCTATGTATTAGACCTACCTTAATTGTAATCAGTACAAATAAATTCAGTACAGTCAACTGCAACCATCGCAGGGCAAGGCCTATTCACTAGAAATACTTGGTTAGTGTACATATATTTCCAGTGCTTGGTATTTGCTTAGCTAGATACTGTAGCTAATTTGCTTACACCTTATCCCTAGTTACACCTGTTTTGGCCATTTTATGTAGCTATTTTGCTATTTGACCACGGTCTGATTTGTCGTGGAAAATGGTGAGACATTGATGATAGGAGAAATGTATTTAGTTATATAGCAAACTAATTCAAGAACAAACAAACACAGTATCATTGCAAGGGATGCCATTTGACATTAGTGGCTACAGTTGCAAGCATGATGATTGTAATCAAGCAAACTCGTGCCAGCTGGCAGGACTTTGCAGAACTCTAGGTCTACTGGTTTTGTCACAAAAAATGTTGAGTAGGTATAGCGAATGTGCCCACTCTGGTATTGGCACGTGCGCTCTAGCCAACAGCTTGCAAATACAGTGCGG